AGTTGGGGTACAATATGGATCAATATGGCACAATTCTTCGGCTCATGTTTGTCTATTTGGAAAAGCAACATTCCCAGCACCTCAAATCTGATCCATAGCCAACTATCCTTGTCGACCTTTTAGCGGCCATAATATGATGGGAGTAACTCCCTCAGTGGTAATTCCGAGTCAATGTAGAAAAACCATGAAAAGAGTGTGCCACCTCCGCAAGGAAGTTGGAAAAAGTATCCGCTGTTTCTTCATCAGGAGCTGCCTGCAAGATGTGCAACAAAGATTTCCAGCAATTTGTCTGAGAATCGAATGTTGGAAAGCACCCATCGCATGTTTTGAAACCTCATGTTCCCAGTTCTTTGGAGACCATGTCAGGTATTTGGGCGATATCCCCTTGGACAAGCCCATGTAGTTTTACGGTCACAGGCTTCCCTTTCAAAGCCGGGCTCGTGTCGCAAATTTCTCTTGTCGGTTCTATCAAGTTGTATGCTCTTTGGATCGATGATGTTTCGTCTTTGGTTGCTGGCTGCAAAACAGTTGTCTATGCCAATGTATGCTAATGTATGCCAATGTCCAGCAATCAAAACCCACAAAAATCAAAAACCACACCACACATGCCATATAACTATATATTTCTGTTTTAGACAGAAAACCGGGGGAGTTCGGCCCTGCGGCCTTGCAGAGGAGGATCCAGGATCTGTCTGCTTTGACCACCCCCAGCTGAATTGGTAAGCTGGTAATAATTAGTAGTATCGTAGTATCTTATTTTGGAATATTTTGGATGATCATGAAGCCTAGCAGCCTCTCATCTCATAGTTTCTCACTTACAATTTGTGAAAGCAGCCTCCTTGCCAAAACGCTCGGTGCAAAAAATAAGTGGTCTGTGCTGAAAGTTTTGTTGTTTTGCCGTTTTGCCGTTTCGCCAAAAAAAACACTATGTCACTATGTCACTGTGGTTCATACACCAATTCTTTTGGTCAAAACGGTCACACCATATCCGATATCCCCACAACAACGTGTGAGCTGGCTGTGCAAGGCATAGGTCATACAGCATATAATTAACTACACATGGTGGCACTGCACAAAGTGGTGGCGGAAGTTTCAAAGCTCGGAAATCGTTTAGGACTAGGAGAGTTTGGTTGTTGATATGCAGGGACGGCAGAGCGAACCTGCTGATGGATTGAGAAGTGAAAAGTGGTTGGAGGAGCGCAATGTAGTTGTAGCAGCATAGTTGTAGTTGTAGTTTGTAGTTATTGTAGTTGCAGTTGTAGTTGTAATTTTAATATAGTTGCAGTTGTTGCAGCCGCAGTCGTAGTTGCAGTTGCAGTTGCAATTGTATGTGTAGTTGTGGGTGTCAGTGTAGTTGTAGGGGTAGCGGGTAGTGTTAGTTGTAGTTGTAATATTGTAGTGGTGTAAATTGTAAATGAAGTTGTAATTGTAATTGCAGTTAGTTAAAATCAGTTAATAATAATAGTTATAGTTATAGTTGTAATTGCAGTTGTAATTCTAGTTGTAGTTACTTGAGGCCAAAGGGAAGGGAACGAAAGCTATCAATTTGAAAGTGGGAAGGGTAAACCAACGAGATTTCTGAGTGAGGCAGCTGAGGGAACGCATTGATTTCTGTTATTTTGGCACGCCGCAAGACAGTTCTACGGTGTTATTTTGGCATGGTACCAGGTACCAAATCGGATTCTTTCAAGTCAAAAGCAGCGGCACCAAATCGGAAGCTTCGCATTTATGTTGGGACAGTAGCGGTGGGAGATGGGAGGCTTTGAAGTTGTGTTGCATGAGTAGCGGTACCAAATCGAATGTATCAAGTTGTGGTGCAAAAGTAGCGGTACCAAATCGGATGCTTTGAAGGCGTGTTGCAAAAGTAGCGGTACGAAATTGGATTCTTTGCAGTTGTGGTGCTAAAGTAGCGGTACCAAATCGGATGCTGTGAAGGTGTGTTGCAAAAGTAGCAGTACCAAATCGGATGCTTTGAAGTGTGGTGAAAAAGTAGCGGTACCAAATCGGATGCTTGGAAGTTGTGTTGCAAAAGGAGCGGTACCAAATCGGATGCTTTCAAGTCAAAAGTACAGCGGCCTTGAATTTGTGATGCAAAAGTAGCGGTACCAAATCGGATGCTTTGATGTTGTGTGCAAAAAGAGGGAAAGCAAAGCGGATGCTTTCAAGTTGCGGTGCCAAAATAGCAGTACCAAATCGGATACTGGATAAGGAGGAAGTGAGGTGGTGGGTGAGACAAGCGGCTGGTAACGGTACGGCCAAGGAAGCTACATCCCCGGCCCTACATTGTGCTTGGCATTGGTGTGACTTGGCACAGTCACATGTCAAATGCTTCAAAAAGTTGTCATGAAATTAGACGCGTCTTGTCAAGTTACGCAAAACCCGGGAGAAGATGCATCAACGCGATGTGACAATACCAAATTGGGTGCTTGCACTCTTGTGATATCCATCACTCTGTCTTCTCTCCAAAGAAGTGACCCTCCGCGACCCCTTCAAAACACATGGACCAGGGAGGGTTTGAACCTGCAGAGGGGGGGGGCCCTTCATGCGAATGGTTCACTTCAGCCAGAAACCTTTGATGTGATAGATCACTGCCTCTTCCCGAAGACTGCCCCCAATACATTCCTAAAGGAAAGCCAACTCCAGCTAGCAAGCTAGCTTTCGTGACTAGTTGTGGTTGCAGTTGTAAGTAAGGGTAGTTGTAGTTGTTGTAGTTGTAGTTGTAGTTGTCTTAGGGATGTAATTGTAGTTGTAGTTTTGTAGCTGGTAGTGGTAGTGATAGTGTGGCAAAGTTACACAGATATATGGCACGTCTGCCTAAACTTTACTAAACTAAACTACATTGCATCATGAATTACTCATTACTTACTTCTTACTCATTACTCATTTCATTACTCATTATCCAGCATTACCAAAAGGTGGTGGCGGAAGTTTCAAAGATCGGAAACAGGAAACCGTTTAGGAGAGGTTAGTCGCTTAGTTAGTTAGTTGTTGTGATGCAGGGATGGCAGCGCGAGCCTGCTGATGGATTGAGAAGTGAGAAGTGGTTGGAGGCAGCGCAATGTAGTTGTAGCAGCGTAGTTGTAGTTGTAGTTAGTAGTTATTGTAGTTAAGTTGCAGTTGTAGTTGTAAGTTGTAATTTGCAATGTAGTTGCAGTTGCAGCCGCAGTCCTAGTTGCAGTTGCAGTGGTAGTTGTAGTTGTGGGTGTAGTTGTAGAGGTAGTGTTTGTTGTCGTTGTACTTTTAGTGCAGCTAAAGTTGCAGTTGTAATTGTAATTCTAGTTGCTAGTTGTAGTTGTAGTATTGTAGGGGTACGGGTATGGGTAGTGATAGTGGTAGTTGTAGCTTGAGTTGTGTTTTGACTATGGCTGTAATGAAATGGATTTCATTTCATTGTATTGTTGTATTGAATAGTTAGTTAGTAGTTGTAATTCTAGTTGTTGTAGGGGTAGTGGTAGTGGATGGTGGTTGAAGTTGTAGTCACAATTGCAGCAATTGCAGTTGTAGTTGCATCTGTAGTTTCTAGTTGTAGGTCTTGTATCTGGCAGGTGTAGTTGTAATGTAATGATATGTAGTTAGGTTGTAGATTGCGGTTGTGGTTGTATAGTGTGTAGTTGTAGGTTAAGTTGAAGTTGTAATTTTATTGTAGCGGGGTTGTGGAGTGCAGTTGTAGTTGTAGTAGTGACTGTTGTAGTACTGATCATTGTAATTTTGTGTATATAATGTTTTCTGTTTTCCCAAATCAAGCAATTCTGCAAGACCTCCTCAATTTGGGAAGTTGACAACATCAAAACAAAAATTCAAAGATGTCACAAAGCGACAAAGCAATTTTGTGAGGCCAGGCTTCTTTCAAAAATGAAATGTTTTGTATACCATATGCTACATACTTTATTATAGTATACTATATCTGATATCTGTATTTCAATACTATATCCGTATATCCGATATATCAAATTTGATATTGCGGATTTTAAATCCAGCTAGTGACTTTATGTTTTGTCTACTTATTATAATTATGATTGTCTACTTATTCTGAAGGGGTTGCAATTATAACTATAGTAATTGTGGTAGAACTTTACTAATTTTAAATCTAATCCTTTTTTTTCCTGTTTTTCATTTTTTTTTCTTTTTTTTGGTGTTTTTTTGTGCTTTTTTTTGTTTTTTTTTGCTTTTTTTATTTTGATTTGCTTTTTTTTTGGTTGCTTTTCTGTCTTACATTTTTTCACATTTGTTTCACGAAAAAAATGATTTTCAAGTTTATAGGATTCTGGCTATCTGGTGAACATAAAGTTAGTCAGTTCATATCAGTTCATAAACCAGCACACATAACTCGGAGGCAAGACCTTGTGGGTCCATTTGGGTTCACTTTTTACACCGCAGAAATGATGCTTGTATGGTTGATGTCAACTGATATCACATATGATCAGATTGATATTCATCATCCCATGACTGGTTGGTTGGTATACCTACCCCTCTGAAAAATATGAGTTCGTCAGTTGGGATGATGAAATTCCCAATATGATGGGAAAGTCATAAAATTCCATGGTTCCAAATCACCAACCAGATGAATTCTTCTCAAATCATTTCTCTCTTGGTGATATGGCAGTGTGTCAAAACCTTGTACCCCTTCTGTTCACATCAAAATAGCTGGTAAATGGATGTTCATCTCACTAAAAATGGTATTAATAGGTATTGATCCATATCCATATGGTGAAATCCCATGATTTTTCATTGGACTCTCCGGGGTACAAAATCACAAGGGATGACCTCGAAAGCTGGGTATCACTTCACCCTGGTAATGACTCTTGGGTTCACCCCAAAATAGATCAAAGTTATCCGTGTTCACCCCTCCAACATATGATATTTCAATATCATATATTTCTGGTTGGTGGTATACCTACCCCTCTGAAAAATATGAAAGTCAGTTGGGATGATTATTCCCAATAATTATATGGAAAAAAAAATGTTCCAAACCACCAACCAGTAATATATTTCTATATATTTCATAGGTATTGGATGGAAAAAAATACACGTTTTTGACTCCCATCTACCCATCTTAGACAGTTACACAGTCCCCAGTGAGTGGCGCAGCATGGTGCCCCGCCCGGGCGCACCAGACAGAGGTCGTGCAGGCGATCCCAGCCAGGCATGCACACGATGCGGTCGCGCGTGTCTGGGGACAAGACCTGGCGAAGGCTTCGGGGAAAACGGGACGCCCGGATCTGGTGAAAAAACAACACAGCAACAAGGCAGGTAGCAGTAGCTCTGTATATATAGCCTCGTCCAGGCTTCTGGAACTACCTAAACCTGAATTAGGTTGGTAAAACTTGTCCATTCCGTGACGAAAGTTCGTCGTGGAATTAACAAGTTTCATTAGGGTCATTATCATCATCATCATCATCATCATCATCATCATCATCACATCATCATCAACTGCTGCCGCAAGTTCACATGAATGTTAACATCGAGCCGCAAGTTCACATGAACGTTAACATCCTGCCGCAAGTTCACATGAACGTTAACATCCCACCCCACCCCACCCCCCCACCCCGCGTGTGCGTAGCATCAACTGCTGCCGCAAGTTCACATGAACGTTAACATCCCACCCCACCCCTTTACCCCATCGTATGTAGTTCCAGAAGCCTGGACGAGCCTATATATATATATATATAGATATATTTGTTTATGTAGCAGCCCATTTTCCAGTTTCCCATGAATCATCAATGGAACATGTGTGCATCAAAGAGTCCCTGAAAGTCGTGGTCACCCAATGGTAATCTATGACTCAAAAAGGGCGACGGGACAAAAATCCATGGTGAGTTCACCTCCAAAAGGGAACTGCATTCCTCATTTGGATCATCAAATAACTATACCATATACTATACATATCAAGTTAGAAACTACATTTATAAACATACCATTATATTATAACTATACCATTTGGATCATTATAACTATACCATCATTTATAAATGAACATGTTCCTAACTTAACTTCTGATCAACATGTATTGAGCCTTGTCCAGGTTTGTCAAAAAATGGAGGATGCCCCGCTTTGAAAACCGCAATAACTTTCAGACAAACCATGTAGTATAGATCCATATAGATCCATATAGATCCCATCCACCGCATATTAGACCCTACCCTAAAATGAACAGATCCAGTAACCAGGTTTATCCCGCCACAAACAAAGGACAAGAAAGAAAAACTGAAAAGTGAGCGAACTGCGGACCCTGAAGAGAAATCGCCTGTGCGAGCAAACGCAGGCGCCGCCGTTGTCCGAAAGTCTTTTGCCGATGTAGTTGCCTCAGAGATTGACGGATGTGACTGGATTTTGGCAACGAACATGTTGTTTCAACCAAGAAATACCAAGAAAGATAAGGAATTAATCAGCAAAAATATGTAAAAACACGGGTATTTTATAATGATGCGGTATACTAGTATAATTTTTTAGCCATCAAAAGGGATCCAACAATAATACGTATTGAACCAGCAACCAGCTGGGAACTACGGTAAGCCACGTAGTAGATCACCGGACAATGCCTTTGTTTGGCCTACCAAACATGGTGATTCAAACAAGAAACCATCAAAGGTTGACGACTATGATCTTCGGGTTGGTCTCCTTCGGAATATAAAAAGACCCGCATTGGATGGTTTGTCTATGACGTCTAACAATCCACAAAGAAAAAACACTAGGATAACACCAAAAACATGGTGCCGGGCATCTGAGAGGCTCGCGACTGTCGTCACTTTTCAAACATTTTCTAGGGGGGAATTGAAAAGGCTTAAAAACGAAACTTTAGTATCGTCAGAAATATCAACATCATCAACATCATCATCATCATCATCATCACACGGTGAGAACATACAGCAGCGTAGGATGACGAATGTGTAGAAGTGCAAGGGTACCTATACAGCGTAGCATGACGCATGTGTAGAAGTGCAAGAGTACCTACAGCGTAGCATGACGTATGTGTGGAAGTGCAAAAGAATCCACAGCAGCGTAGCATGACACATGTGTGGAAGTGCAAGAGTACCTCAAGCGTAGCATGACACATGTGTGGAAGTGCAAGAGTACCTACAGCGTAGCATGACGTATGTGTGGAAGTGCAAGAGTACCTATACAGCGTAGCATGACACATGTGTAGAAGTGCAAGAGTACCTACAGCGTAGCATGACGTATGTGTGGAAGTGCAAAAGAATCTACAGCAGCGTAGCATGACACATGTGTGGAAGTGCAAGAGAATCTACAGTGTAGCATGACGCATGTGTAGAAGTGCAAGAGAACCTACAGCGTAGCATGACGTATGTGTGGAAGTGCAAAAGAATTTACAGAAGCGTAGCATGACGTATGTGTGGATTTGAATGAGATGTAAGAGAGCGTACAGATATGTTGCATCACATATGTGTGGAAGTGCAAATGACGTTATTATCCCCCCCCCCCCCCCCCCCCCCCCGCCACACAATAATATTTTCATAATAATGCAAAAAATGACAACAGTCGCGAGCCTCTCAGATGCCCGGCACCAAAAACATGAGATTATATATTATGTGTATATATATAATATTCTTATTATTTCTTATTTTGAAACTTGTGTTTAAATTCTTGGCACCATGAACACGTGCACGCCGGTCAAGGGACGCGTTTTTGAAGGCCTTGCAAGACAGCACAATGGAGGCCACCTCCAAGGGTCAAAAGCTCGACACACGGCGAGCCCCATTGTTTTGAAGGTTGGAATTTGGAAGGTAAAACTGGGTTTGTCTGAAAATAGTGTATCTCATATTCCAATGGATTATCACCATGTTCCCCATTAAAAGTGCTATTTGTGGGTATCCCCTATTTTCAGACAAACCCAACTAGTGAATTTTAAATGTTGTGGAAATGCAGATCCAGCTATGCCAGCTATGACTTTCTTATTGTACCTAGGGTCCCAGGATTTTCCACTAACAAATAGTGTAAGTCTTCAAACCGCAACATCCAAGTTGGGTGAAGAGGGTCACATTTTGTGATCAGGTCACAAGGTTTGCCCTGTTGATTCGATTTGGTGGCACAGCGCATGGACCTTTGCATGGATCTTTAGCCCCAAAGTGTGGTGATGATTTGCGTATGTGATGATACATATCATATATTATATTTCTATATATTTCTGTGAATATTTAATTTGTATATATATATATACAGTATGTAGTAAGATCAGGCTGCATGACTTAGAGAAGATATGGACTGATACTCCATATCTTCGATTTGGATTACCCATGGCGTTGAGTTTTTCTTTGGAACGTCATGGCTTCATCGCTGATGTTGTACCCACAGGATCCCACAGGCCTGGGTGTCTTCCCATTGCGGATCTGCGGGATATTTACCTTTCGCGCGGAAAAGCATGCGTCATGTTTGTTAGAAAAGAATGGTTCTAATTTGAGATTCAGAGTAGCTAATTAACCATATAGAGCATTGATTGGTTATTGATGGTTATCGATAGTTATTGCATTGTTATTGCATGTTGCTTTTAGTGGTAAATTCGGGCCATTTTTGATCCAGTCCATCAGTCCATCAGTCCTACGGAAATGGTCTAAATAGAAATCGGAGGGGTAACTCTCACATCGGGGAATCTTTGGATCGCAGGATGCATTGCCAAAGCTGTACTTTCTGACGGGAACAAGATACTTACAATATGTATATATATATATACTTACAATGTCCTGATAGAGGAACATGGTTCCCTTACACTTTAACAATCTACTTATAGAGATGCCTTTTTTCTCTGCCACAGAATAGCCACAGAATACAGGTCACCTTCGACCTGACTCGCAAAAATGTCAGCGCTCATGGTGGTCATCTAAGATACTGCAGGATTCATATTGAAGAAAGTTTAACAGCCCACATTGGTGGTTAAATCCTATGATTAACAGATCATTCGAGAATCTGTTTGATCCCGTGAACACCCTACTGCATGGCTATAGCAAAGGTCCTCCATCTGAAGTTCAATCCCAGTGCACGATTTTCAGAAGGTAACATATAAAATACCATCAAGAATAAAGAATCCCAAAAAAAGAATCCAAATTTTTACTAAAAAATCCCATGGAAATCCACCAAATTTTCATCCATTTTCCATGGTTTTTTCATCCATTTTCATTGGATTTCCCATGAAAACCAACCAACCTTAGTGGCAAAAAACGTCACGTTTTACCGCCGACGGTTCCCACGACGGTTGGCCGCGGTACATGCCAAGACCAGCACCGCCATGGCTTCGTGAACCTTGGCCCTCAGCAGGTCCTTCTCCACTTGCGAACTGCCCTGGGGATTTTGGGGATGTCATGGGGACAAGATGGGACAATGGTGATTTAACCATGAAAAATGGTGGTTTAACCATGAAAAATGGTGATTTAACCATGAAAAATGGTGGTTTAACCATGAAAAATGGTGATTTAACCATGAAAAATGGTGGTTTAACCATGAAAAATGGTGATTTAACCATGAAAAATGGTGGTTTAACCATGAAAAATGGTGGTTTAACCATGAAAAATGGTGATTTAACCATGAAAAATGGTGGTTTAACCAAGAAATATGATGATTACCATGTTTCTGAAATGTGATTTCAGCAAGGAAAGTTTGTTGATTCAAAGGATGATTTAACCAACAAAAAACTATAAGATGATTTTGGTAGATATTAGGGCTATTGATGGATAAGAACTTAGATAGCCAGATTCAAAGCGCCCTGGCGCCCGAAGATTCTCCGATTCGTGGTTTTAATCAGTTGAAATGGGGTTATGTAATGCACCCCCCCAAAAAAGGAAAAGGTTGGATTTATAGCAACCAACCGTTTTTTTGTCAGTTGTTTTTTTGGAATGGTCTGTTACATTGTATAGGTCTTTTCCAGAAATGGTTTGATTACTGTTTTCCATGTTGGCTATGGTTACTATTCATTCGAGATATATACGTAAAACCGCATAAGCCAAAAATCACTGTAAAACAATCCATTTTCCGTATGTTCCCCTAACAATTTCCCATAAACCAATCCATTAAGTAATGACTTCACCGTATGAAAAGGCTCGTCCTGGCATTTTACCCTCTACCTCGTGAGTCTTGTGGCCCTTAATATCTGAAAATATCTGCGGTTTCTGTGGTTCCCGGAATCCAAGTTCCGGTATCATCGCACTTCTGGGAAGTCGCTGGATTGTCGGGAACATTTATGCTGAATATGCTGCATGATTTAAAGATCTTCCCATAGAAAAAAAGGGTTCCCCGCAACGTGGCAATGAGAAAAAAAGATATCCCGAATTTAAACCTTGGGGTTGCAGCGAACACATTTCGTGTTACATAAACTCTGGGAATCAAACGTGGCAATGGAACATATCTCACTTTTAGATGATGTTCCCAGCTCAAGACCTTGATTTTTTAGGGGATTCCCGGCCAGCCATGTTTGATTGCCGGAGGGTAAATCTATAGTTCTAAATCCCCATCTTCAATAAATGAATACCGAACACACACACATTCTTGTTACATAATCATCTCCCAAACAAATACGTTATACAGTATTATAATTAATGTACTGTACAGTATTTATAACTTACATAAACAAATCTGGTGTAAAAATCCCGAAGCCGCAGCCGTCATTCAAAAAAGAACGGCCCGGGCCCAGGCGCCTGGATGTACTGCACGTGCCCGGTGTATGCGGGATGACCCAAGAGATCTCTGGTCCTCGATGTGCTGATGACTCAAGAGATCTCTGGGCCCCGAAAACCATAGGAACATGGTCATTTAACCAGGGACTACCAGGGAAATTCATGGGATTTATAGCTGATTTTTGATAGCGAGATGTTGACGCATCACTTGACGTTGGTTGATGAGGGGAAAATCATTATAGGGTTCATGGATATTCATGAGGTTTAAACATCAACCGTGTGTGAGATGGCTTTCGATATTGACAGTCAACAAATGTATATAAATCATAGTGACGGATTGATGACCACCCCCCAATGAGGGTTTTTTGCGGTGTGCCATCCAACTCTTCATGGCACATGTGTGGGTTTATCCAAAAATGCGGAATACATGGGAAAACCCCAATACATGGCTATTCTTACGGGGAACATCATCTATAAAACCCAGCGATCCAGTGGGGGTACCATGCTCACAAACTCCTAAAGCGCAATGGCTGCCATTACCTTTCCGAAAAGCATGGCATGGCCTTCATGGCATGGCGGATCATTATCCCCATTTTAGAGATACCCGAATGGACCATTGACCCATTCGAACGCCACTGGTTTCCGGCTTAGGGATGACACAAATTACCCGGCCTGGGAAACGTTCACAAAAAACTATGGAAAATCCACCCATTGCTCATGGGAAAACTCACTATTTCTATGGCCATGTTCAATAGCTATGTAACAAATTACCAGAGGGTACAATATCAAATGTACCATGTTTTTCCCCACCTGCCAGGTGAGGGTTGTTAGATTTTATGTCAGTTGCCTCCTCCTCCTCCTCCTCCTGCCTCGTCCTCCTCTCCTCCTCCTCCTCCTCTCCTCCTCGTCCTCCTCGTCCTCCTTGTCATCCTTGTCGTCCTCTCGTTGTCCTCGTCGTCCTCGTTGTCCTCCTCGTCCTCCTGCTCAACTGCGACTCGCGATCCACAGTGTTCGCTGCCGGACCTCAACCACGACCATCCACGCCCAGTGTTCCCTGCCGGACCTCAACCACGGCCATCCCCGCCCAGTGGTCCCTGCCGGACCTCAACCACGGCCATCCACGCCCAGTGTTCCCTGCCGGACCTCAACCGCGAGTATCCATGCCAAGTGTTCCCTACCGGACCTCATGTAGGAAGATATGGGACAAAGAATGTGCAGAAGAAAGTTAGAAAGAATGTCAGAAAGAATGTCAGAAGATATGCCAGAAGATATGCCAGATAGAATGCCAAATAGAATGCCAGATAGAATGCCAGAAGATATGTCAGAATATATGCCAGAAGATATGCCAGATAAAATGCCAGATAATATGCCAGAAGATATGCCAGATAGAATGCCAGATAGAATGCCAGAAGATTTGCCAGATAGAATGCCAGAAAATATGCCAGAAGATATGCCAGATAGATATGTCAGAAGATATGCCAGAAGATATGCCAGAAGATATGTCAGAATATATGCCAGAAGATATGTCAGATAGAATGCCAGAAGATATGTCAGAATATATGCCAGAAGATATGCCAGATAGAATGCCAGATTGAATGCCAAAAGATATGTCAGATAGAGTGCCAGAAGATATGCCAGATAGAATGCCAGAAGATATGCCAGATAGAATGCCAGATAGAATGCCAGAAGATATGCCAGATAGAATGCCAGAAGATATGCCAGATAGAATGCCAGATAGATAGAAGATATGCCAGATAGAATGCCAGATAGAATGCCAGAAGATTTGCCAGATAGAATGCCAGAAAATATGATATGCCAGAAGATATGCCAGAAGATATGTCAGAATATATGCCAGAAGATATGTCAGATAGAATGCCAGAAGATATGTCAGAATATATGCCAGAAGATATGCCAGATAGAATGCCAGATTGAATGCCAGAAGATATGTCAGATAGAATGCCAAATAGAATGTCAGAAGATATGTCAGATAGAAGGCCAGAAGATTTGCCAGTAAGAAAATGTATAAATGTCATGGTGGGGATCACACGAAGTAAAGTAATTTATTTAACATAGCGATGGAAAATAGAGATAGATGAGAACACATGCTGATTTAGCTCTTAAAAATTCAGTGCAAATTGGGTAGATTCGTCACCGCCCTACCGCTGATGCTGCCGGCACCCTGCTGCCATAGTTCTGATGGTCCGGAGGGTGCAACGACAAAATCACAATGTCGCAGGGTCGGGCAGGACCACGATCTGGGTGATATGCCTCGCATCTGGAGTACATGGAGTCATGGAACATGGTGATTTCATGCTGATGAAACAAACACTTTGCGACATAGAAAATGGCCATAGATGGCCATAGACATAGTTGATTTATCCACTAAACATGGTGATTTTCTATAGTTATGTAAACGTTTACCAGGCCGGGTAATGCTGATTTAGAGTTGGCCAAGGTTTACTATGAAATCGCTGGAACTGGAACATCTGCAGGAAAGCATGGATTTTTTGCTGTATTTCTAGTGGCTTCATCTTCGACCATTTTCCCATCATCCAATTCTGCCAGGCTGCCAGGACTGGGGTCCATTGGATTGAAATCTTCGGATCTTCCAGGCTAATTTCCGTGAAACAACCATCGTTTTTATTTTATACATAAATCAGATATAAAGTACCCTCTGGTAATTTAACATAGCTATTGAAAATGACCATTTATAGTGGATTTACCTACTATAGATGGTGATTTTCCATAGCTATGTTAAATTACCAGAGGGTAGCCTTATGTTTGTTGGTCAAACAAAACAAGCACCACCCGTGTGTTGGTAAAATCATTGGTGAAATCCAGGTGGTTTCAACCAGAGCTTCAGCCCACCTCATAGAGCAGAAGATTCAGCACCGGAAACTCCACATGTCCCATGATGACCTTGGCGATCGACCGAACCCCATTTGAATGGTGGATTTCAGCAGGTTGTGGATTTCATGGGATTTCACTTTAAAACATGCAATGTGGTGCCCCCAAGATAGCTAAGTTGGTTTATAACTCTAATAACTAGGACTTATGGTAGATATATCATAGTTAATGGGGTTTGTAAATCAACTTACAACTTGGGGGCACCACGTTGTGGTGATTTAATGGGAATGAAACAGCCCAACATGATAAGTTCATAGGATTTAAGCAAGAAAAACTCGGGATTCAATGGAACATGTGTTGCCTTCCAACTTCCAAGTGGCCCAAAACCATGAAACATCCTCCAACCACATACTCGTCGCGAAAAACCCAATATGTTTAATGGTTAAAAGAAAAACCTTCAGAAAGGTCGACCCAGGGATCAGGGACCCCCTTGGGTTTCAAGCCTCATATTTCGGCGGCGAAATGTTGGATATCAAGCAAGACAAGCCCCGATTGCTGGTCCATCCTGGTCCCACACGGCAAATATCGGGATTCAACAAGAACATTTTTCTTTGGTTGTTACCATCTGGTTATGACATTCACAGTTCGCCATGGTTATATAAATATTCCCCATTTTTAAGTTCGGTAAACCATCTATTTCTATGGGCCATCTATACCATGGCTATGTTAGTCATAACCAGAGGATATTGAGTCAAGGCCATCCCCTGCTGACGATGGGTCCCGGTCATTTCGTGGTCATTTCTACATCCCATTGCATGGCGACGAGTTGGCGAGCGAGTTGAAAATAACACCCAATGGGGGGGATGGTTTATGGCAGGAAATTTACATACAAAATGCCACACATATGTGGATAGACATGTTAAGACTCTTAGCCATCTATCACTCTATCCCTATTCCAATCATCCCCAAATGGTCGTTGTTATCGTTGTTTATGGCATTTTCTTTGCATGAGTAGTAACCCCCAAAAAGATGCAGAAAAGCTTCAAATCAACCCTATTCCTAGCTTCAACTTTGACCAACTTCGGCATCGCTTCCACCCAATGATGTCCGGGAAAAATAGATGGGTCTCATCATTTATCAATATCCAAAAAAAACATAAGTATCAGTATCAGTATAGTTATCATCGTTTACCAATCAAGGTTGTGAAAAATGGGCATGTTCGACCAATTATCGGATCTGATACCCTCTGGTAAACTAACAGTTTGCTATTGAACATGGTCATAGAAATAGTGAGTTTTCCCATTGAAAGTGGTGATTTTCCATAGTTTTTTGTAGGTTTTACCATATATAGGGTACCAACTCTCGTCATTGACCGCTCCATGGGGATGACGCGTCGACGGTACGTACGGTACCCGGTCGCCATCCCACCGCTGTCCCAGCGAGGCGCAATGTGCGAGTCGCTCATGCGCTTGTACTTCGTCCGCAAAGCCCAGGGATCCCGTTGCAAGGCCTGGACTCCAGGACCAGGTCATCGGTGGCTTTCAAAGCCATTTTGGGGGGATAAAACACACAGGGCCCAGGGGGGATGTTTTGTGTTGTTGTTTTATGGATTTTATATGTATTTATATGGGATAAAGCATATGATCAAGCCATGATCAACTCAACCATCAACGAACATGTTGTTTTATGGAGTTTTTATGGGATAAAGCCATGTGAAACTCAACCATATATGGCATGAACATGGTGTGTCTTTGCAAAATGGGAGGTATCTGGGCCAGGGAAAATGATGGATGAGGATCCACGGCCCATCACAGCTGTTCATGACTCACCGGATTCAAGGGTCAATTTTTAACCCCGGATGAAATGTGGATGTGGATATGGGTCAAAATATCTGAGAAAGTCTGAAAACTGGATGGTGTCTTTTTCCCCACCTGCCAGGTGAGGGTTGTTAGATTTTATCTAAGTTGCCTGGTCCTCCTCCTCCTCCTCCTGCCGCCTCCTCCTCCTCCTCCGCCTCCTCCTCCTCCTCTCGTTGTCCTCCTCGTCCTCCTGCTCAACTGCGACTCGCGATCCACAGTGTTCGCTGTCGGACCTCAACCACGACCATCCACGCCCAGTGTTCCCTGCCGGACCTCAACCACGACCATCCACGCCCAGTGTTCCCTGCCGGACCTCAACCGCGAGTATCCACGCCAAGTGTTCCCTGCCGGACCTCATGTAGGAAGATATGGGACAAAGAATGTGCAGAAGAAAGTTAGAAAGAAGGTCAGAAAGAATGTCAGAAGATATGCCAGAAGATATGCCAGAAGATATGCCAGATAGAATGCCAGATAATATGCCAGAAGATATGCCAGATAGAATGCCAGAAGATATGTCAGAATATATGCCAGAAGATATGCCAGATAGAATGCCAGAAAATATGTCAGAATATATGCCAGAAGATATGTCAGATAGAATGCCAGAAGATATGTCAGAATATATGCCAGAAGATATGCCAGATAGAATGCCAGAAGATATGTCAGATAGAGTGCCAGAAGATATGCCAGATAGAATGCCAGAAGATTTGCCAGATAGAATGCCAGAAGATATGCCAGAAGATATGCCAGATAGAGATATGCCAGATAGAATGCCAGAATGATATGTCAGATAGAATGCCAGAAGATGCCAGAAGATATGCCAGAAGATATGCCAGATAGAATGCCAGAAGATATGCCAGATAGAATGCCAAATAGAATGTCAGAAGATATGTCAGATAGAATGCCAGAAGATATAAATGTCATGGTGGGGATCACACGAAGTAAAGTATTTTTTTTTTTAGTGAACATGGCCCGTTCATTTTTGGGTTGAACAAATCCTATCCCAACATGGCCTGGTCCACGTCGGGTCATATTCATCATGACTATGGATGATTTGTTCAGCAAGAAACCTCGATGACTCGGTCGAGGATTTCCAATTAACCATGTTTGCTTACCGGATACAGTGGGTTTATGTAGGTTTCCAATATCATATTCAAGGAAAGGGACCGCTGACATGAAGTCTTCTCATTGCCTGGGATCCTCGCCCAAGTGGCCGGTGGTTGGTATATTGGTATACCTATCCCTCTAAAACATATGGAAGTCAGTTGGGATGATGACATTCCCAAATATATGGAAAAAAAACATGTTCTAAACCATCAACCAGTACACATCGACCATGATGATTGATTCCATGGCCCATCATGGCCCCATAGCCCGCCCCATTTTCCCCGCTTTCCTCATCCCTGGAAGCCGCCTTCAGAATGGAAGCCGCTTGCCAGGGGATGATGATGTAAGCCGCAGTCACCACCACGATCAGCAGCAAATGCGCGCCCACCGTGGAGGGCTCGATTCCTACAGCGGCTGGGGCTTTCCAAATTAGGGGGAAGTTAGAGTTAGAGAACTTTTTTCGTGTAGCCATGAAGATACAGCTTCACATGTTGAAAAAACTTTGTTTAAAGATACATTTCAAAAACCATGTTTCAGATAGATTTTGGGTACTGGCTGCCTTTTTCATCATCGTCACCGTTATCGTCATACTTCACTATCCACTGGCTGCCAGTGGGATAGCCCTAAACATCCCCAAACTAGATACCTTCTGGTAAACTAACAGTTTGCTATTGAAGCCATGGCCCAGTCGAAATAGTGAGTTTTCCCATGAAAATCGCATGGTGATTTTCCCATCCGTTTTTTGTACGTTTACCAGGCCGGGTATTTCCGTGTTTTTCTCACCAAGCAGACAGTGAATTGAGGTGCTGAGAGCCCATCATCACAGCGGCCACAACCACAGCCCGTTATGTTTGTTTGTTTGTTTGAGCTGCGAAGAACTGGGTGCCCAACTTAACCATCCAAAAACCATGGGATACTCTGGGTATAGGTCTAGGGCTCAGAACTGGCATTTGGATCTAAGAGTCAGATTTGGGTCAGATCCAGTCTCATTCTGAGTGCAGGTTCCGGCTCCGTGGTCACATTCGAAATACCATGGTCCCTTAAAATACCACCCGAAACAGAGATGACTGGATCCTCAGGATTTGTTTGTTCGCTATTTGTGTTCGTTCATGTCCACCCAGTTAGGTATAGCATACTGCTGTCGATATATATATATATATGTATTATGATATACGTACCAAAGACCCTGATTGCCAATGCACTTGCTTTGGCTGGTGCTAGACTGTACACATCATTCTGGCTGAATTACAATAATCCACTAACCTGAAAATAGCTGTTACAAGACGTCCATTTGGGGATGATAAAAAACCATTTAAAAACAATCATTCCGTCACAACGTGAGGACATTTTAATTAATCCAAATATACTCGTATTATATATATATATTTATATTATATATATATACTAATATATATATATATAACTATATATATATACACATCATATATTAATTATATCCAGTATATCCCCCTTGCAGCATGTTTGTTGGTTAAGTATGGTTAAGTCACTATTGTTGTTGGCTAAATACCATGAAATCACCATAATTGACTATCATGTCCAATATATTTGCATGCTATATTATATCTACATATATGTTTTGTATACGTGTATTTTAATATAATTGTATGTACATGTACTGTACATGTATATACATGTTACATATCCCATGATATGCCCACTATGAGTCATCATGTGCGTTCGTGAATTCCAGTTCTCCAAAGGGCGAGGGCGTCCCAGGATTTCAATGGCATTGAAGTAGAAGGCCTGGTGGATCTTGTGAGGGGACCCAGACAAAAATTCATGGGGATTTCCGTGGGGATTGAATGGATAGCCTCCCTCTGAAAAATGATGGAGTGAAAGTCAGTTGGGATGATGACATTCCCAATATGATGGGATATGACATCTGGGTTATTCTCTGGGTTTTATCCCATCTATAAATGGATACCCTCTGGTTATGACTAACAGTTTGCCATGGTTTGTTGATGGCCCTAATCGAAATAGATGGTTTACCGAACTTAAAAATGGGTCGATTTTCCATGGCGAACTGTTAGTCATAACCAGATGATATATCATGGTGATCTGGTTGTTGGTGCAATATTATCCATCTTGAAACATATGAGTTCGTCAATGGGAAGGATGACATCCCATATATGAAATGGAAAATAAAAAATGTTTGAAACCACCAACCAGTGATGTACCATCTGATTATTTAACATAGGGAACTGGAAAAACACAATTTTTAATAGGTAAACCCTCTATTTCTATGGGCCATCTATACCATGGCTATGTTAAATAACGAGAGGGTATATCATACGGATTTAAGCAACACATATGGACGGGATATAGTAGAGATGTGTTCCCAGCAATATGATGTTTGGTGTGTTTCATAATAGTGGATCATCCCACTTAGTAAGTAAGTAGTTAATAACCCTGGTTAGGAAGTCCCCCAAGTGGGTTTCCCATTCATAATTGGGTGAGCTACCCCCACTTACTAACTAGTAATGGTGGATTTATATACATGATTTTACCGCGATTTATCCCCAATTCACGGACATGACATGTCGAGAGGGACACATCTTATGAACCAGTGGATGAAATGGAATAATTACCCTATTTGTCCAACAAACCCATATCGAGGAATAGGGACCCAGTTCAAGATATTTGTAGCCCCCGTAGCCTAGCAATGGAATTATGAGGACTTCTGCGGAACATGGACCATAAAAATACACGTGACCTGATGACTTTACAGTAAGCAACTGGATTTCCCAGCCATGTTTTTTCTGAGAAAGTGCTAGATCTAATCCATTCATGGCACCATTCTACCCCGGCCAGGATTTGTTTCCAGTGCCTGACGCCGTTGATAGCTTTTTGTGGGGCTAAAAACTGTCAGTGCCGGAGAATCATGCACTTCCAAGTTCTAACTTTCGGTCTGTCAGTATTTGCTGCAAAACATTTGGAAGTGAAATGGAGGTCCTACAGTAGAAGTTGCGAGAAGAATCTTGCAAATAAGTGCGCCAACCACTTCCAATGTTGTCTCAAAGAAAAATACAAGGAGCTAAAGATAGGGGACTCCAAAATGTGTCATCTGTGCTGCTCGGAGCATACCCTTTTTGGGGCACCCCAAATTTGAGAAACGAGCAACTGGGAATACACGCCAGCGGGGTTTTGGAAAAACACACATACACACAAATGCAACGAAACAAGATTTGGATTTGCTTCAAGTGTCACAAAAAAAAGTATTCAACATATTCCCCTAGTAGATTTCCCATTTTTTGTGGATTGACCCATTGGAACACTAGAAAACTTTTTTTTCAGTAAATCCAGGTTAAGTAATCCCTGTCCCCTTTCATATTAAATACCCCCCATCAAGACATCAAGACCCCCAAAATAGGTTTGATGGGGGAGGATATTGAAGGTTATACTAATCCCCAAAAAACAATTTAAAAAATGTTATTCCTCAGTATTTAAGTGGCATGGGCATGACTTGTTGATTCTTTTTTGGGATATCCAACAAACAGGGAATGGATTTCAACCCATCTATTGGACCCATCAGCACCTCGTGGAAGGGCACTTTGGCTGGTTCGTTCTGTACCACCTTCATGTCGTTCTCCACCAACCTGAACGTTGGGACCGGAACGGGATGAACGAAGATTTCAGGAAGTTTGGTCTGAATCTCTGAGAAGTTTGGTCTGAATTCCCCAAAAAATTGCAAATTTTGATGGGAAAAATGATGTTTGAAACGTTTGAAACCACTTTGAAGCATCAAATCGCTTTTTGTATCCTATTTTCAGACACACCCATGAATCCACCCCGGCTATAGATAGGGTTAAATACCCAGCAAAATAAGGAGAGAACATACTGGCACTGGGTCTGATCTTCTGCCGTGCAAGGCTTTCATCGTAAGAAACCGACCCAAACCGTTTGGGCTGCCCATCCTTTTTCGTCCTGCCGCCTGCCAAACCAATGAGCTGTTTGTATCGCATCACCGTTGGTATCCCAGGGATGAAGCCAGGATGCCAGGCAGATTGAAAATTGACTGCTGAAGTGTTGCATGTTTTTTTTGTCTGTATAAAAAAGAGCATCCCATGCTCCCATCCCATGAAATTTTGTTTGATGAAGCCAGGCATTCCCATGAATAAATTCATAATCCCCAGTAAACCAGGTAGGTGAATAACCCAACCATCATCAAGTCATCTCTCAAGCACATCTCCACGTTTCTTCGTGCTGAAATAAACCACCCCAATGGCGGTTTTTCAGTTCCAACCGAACCAACCAACAGTTGGGTCCTTTTCATGGCTAAACATAGCCAAACCCATCATAACTTATATAGTTTGCTGATGGTTGCCGCTTAAATCCCAAGTAGTTAAGTTAAGTCCCGTCAAATCCAAACTGAAAAAACCGCATGTTTGATGGTCAAAACCCAAAAACAAGTCCCTTTATATAGATGGGCCATGGGATTAACTAACTGGTTAGTAACTGGGGATATAACCCTCTATATCCCAATCATAATCCATTTACTAACTAGTTAACTAACTCCATGGCCCATCTAAGTACCTCAACCTATCTCTGCATATTTTGCATACCACCAGCTTTTCCAACCATACCAAGGTGCTGATAGAATCCCGCAGACGTGAAGATCAAACAGAAGATTCCAAAGGCCATCCTGAGCGACTCTGCTTGGTGCTATATCTATCCCTCTGAAAAATGATGGACTTCGTCAGTTGGGATGATGACATTCCCAAGGGAATGGAAACATAAAAGCCATGTTCCAAAGCACCAATCATATGATATATATATATATATTGTACATACAGTATATTATAGGTATATCAAAATAATCCAAATGTTCCAAACCACCAATCATATATGATATGTATATAAGTATATAGGATTATATAGGGATATCATGGGGATCTGAAGATATCATAGAGGATCTAATCGATATGTATATCATGGTGGAAATTGAATGATTTCATAAGGACCCTGAATTTGTAGGGACCCTCCCGTATTCCCATACTACTCCCATACTACTTCCCGTTTAACCCAAGACGCGTATCGAAAGATGATGGGCATGGGGGTCCCAGCCAGGTCCATCATAAGGTCCCTATGTACAGATCAGCCGACCCTGGGATCCAACTCATGTCCTTATGGCTTTCAGAAAGCAGTAACAAACCTTTACCAGTTAAGGGGGAAGTTATGTACGGTAGAAGCTGATGTTACACTTTTCATGGGCAAGTCCTCAAGGTACCAGAGATCGCTCACTGCGTTGGGGCGCCGGGGCACCCTGTCGGTAATCGCCCGCATATGTTTTGTGGGTGCTTCATCCTGAATTTCTGGAAGCAACTACGTTGAACCCCCAATAAATAGCTATCAATAGAGCCACCGAGACACTCCATTTGTAACCATCAAAATGGAGTAATTGTGGTAAAGTCCTGACTTCATTATAGGCTAGTTATGTTTCTATCATTAATAACCATTAAATACCATTAAATACCATTAATAACCATTAAATACCATTAAATACCATTAATAACCATTAATAACCATTAAATCACCATTAAATCACCATTAAATCACCATTAAATCACCATTAAATCACCATTAATAACCATTAATCACCATTAATCACCATTAAATCACCATTAAATCACCATTAAATCACCATTAAATCACCATTAATAACCATTAATAACCATTAATCACCATTAAATCACCATTAAATCACCATTAATAACCATTAATAACCATTAAACACCATTAAATCACCATTAAATCACCATTAAATCACCATTAATAACCATTAATAACCATTAATAACCATTAATCACCATTAAATCACCATTAAATCACCATTAATAACCATTAATAACCATTAATCACCATTAAATCACCATTAAATCACCATTAAATCACCATTAAATCACCATTAATAACCATTAATAACCATTAATAACCATTAATCACCATTAAATCACCATTAAATCACCATTAAATTTCCATTAATAACCATTAATCACCATTAAATCCATTAAATCACCATTAATAACCATTAATAACCACCATTAATCACCATTAAATCACCATTAAATCACCATTAATAACCATTAATAACCATTAATAACCATTAATCACTATTAAATCACCATGAAATCACCATTAATAACCATTAATAACCATTAATAACCATTAAATCACCATTAAATCACCATTAAATCACCATTAATAACCATTAATAACCATTAATAACCATTAAACACCATTAAATCACCATTAAATCACCATTAATAACCATTAATAACCATTAATAACCATTAATCACCATTAAATCACCATTAAATCACCATTAATAACCATTAATAACCATTAATAACCATTAATCACCATTAAATCACCATTAATAACCATTAATAACCATTAATAACCATTAATGACCATTAATAACCATTAATAACCATTAATAACCATTAATCACCATTAAATCACCATTAAATCACCATTAATAACCATTAATAACCATTAATGACCATTAATAACCATTAATAACCATTAATAACCATTAATCACCATTAAATCACCATTAAATCACCATTAATAACCATTAATAACCATTAATAACCATTAATGACCATTAATGACCATTAATGACCATTAATGACCATTAATGACCATTAACCATTAGCAAGTTTTACACCTCCAAAACCATTCCTTCAGCACGACAGCGCGCAACGCCGCAACGCTGGCGGCCCGAGGCACATGGACACCTCTCTGCTGACATCTTCCGGGCGATTGCGCAAGAAGCGAAAGGAACGCAAAATGCCTCAGTGGGTGACGGGTGGATGGGCCATGGGAAAAACGCGAAATTTATGGTTTATAACTGGGGATATATATATAGCCCCCAAAAAATCCCAATGAAATAATCCATGGCTACTAACTAGTTTTCACTAACTCCATGGCCCATCTAAGTGGTTTTCTTTTCGCTGAAAAATCCCCATTTTTATAGGTCCTATAGGTGGTAGGTAGGTAGAAACCATTCGGAAACTGGGTGGTTTCTACATGACATTGTGAAAAAAACACATTGTAGTCAATAGGACTGTTAATACAAAATCATATATACGGTGATGGCCCAACTAACAGTTATATTTATGGGATTCTAATGATATATAGCCTCACTTATAGGAGTTATTTCATCCCATTTCTAACTGTTAACTGTTAAGGGCCATAACTGTACAATGTGGGGCCCCCGGTCGATAGCTAAGTTGGTGCAAATAACTCCAATAACATCCAATAACTATCGTTTAGGATTATTTTTACTATAGTATACTATAGTTATATAATAGGGTCTTTAAAGCAATTTATAACTAGGGGGTCCCACATTGCATGAATAGAGGGTTCAATGGAATGTACCCTCTAACAAATTACAGTAACATAGACCCTGAAAATAACCAAGTTTTAGTATCTAGAAGGATCTATGTTGATTTATTGGAAGGTAACCACTAAAATCACTAAAATATATTATTTTCAAGTGATTGAAGCAGCAAAAATGATGCTTCAATGCGATTTGACCAAGGAAGAGTCGATTTCATGGAATTCGTCAACATAGGGAATGAAACCAACCATATAATGAGATTTCATAGGGAAATCACCAGGTTTAAGTTAGCTCAGTTCGTTGACATAAGTAGTCATGGATGATTATGATGATATGACAATTCCAACCCCAAATCTTGATATTCCACCAGAAAAACCTTATCCCACCCTTTTCTGGCCTTGCAGGCTCTGCAACTTGAAAAAGTCGAACGCATAAAAAACTCATGGCGTAGACATCTTCCTAGAGTTCGGTAAGCTTATCTTGCATTGCAGAGCTGTCACTCCCCGGGTGGCCCCATGTAACCACAGATCCATCTGCTAGGATCGCATCAAATGCAGCAGAATATGCACCACTTGTGCCATGGACCTGCTGCACATTCCTGAGCTGATCTTGCACTGCAGAGCTGTCACCACCAAGATCCGGGTGGCCCCATGTAACCACAGATCCGTCTGCTAGGATCGCAGCAAATGCAGCAGCAACTGCACCACTTGTGCTATGGACTTGCTGCACATTCCTGAGCTGATCTTGCACTGCAGAGCTGTCACCACCACAATCCGGGTGGCCCCATGTAACCACAGATGCCTCTGCTAGGATCGCAGCAAATGCAGCAGCAAATGCACCACTTGTACCATGGACCTCCTGCACATTCCTGAGCTGATCTTGCACTGCAGAGCTGTCACCACCAAAATCCGGGTGGCCCCATGTAACCACAGATCCGTCTGCTAGGATCGCAGAAAATGCACTACTTGTGCTATGGACCTCCTGCACATTGCTGAGCTGATCTTGCACTGCAGAGCTGTCACCACCAAAATCCGGGCGGCCCCATGTAACCACAGATCCGTCTGCTAGGATCGCAGCAAATGCACCACTTGTGCCCTGGACCTGCTGCACATTCCTGAGCTGATCTTGCACTGCAGAGGTGTCACCACCAAAACCCGGGTGGCCCCATGTAACCACAGATCCGTCTGCTAGGATCGCAGCAAATGCACCACTTGTGCCCTGGACCTGCTGCACATTCCTGAGCTGATCTTGCACTGCAGAGGTGTCACTACCCCAATCCGTGTGGCCCCATGCAACCACAGATCCGTCTGCTAGGATCGCAGCAAATGCGGCGTCTGTGCCCTGGACCTCCTGCACATTCCTGAGCTGATCTTGCACTGCAGAGCTGTCACCACCTCTAGCCAGGTGGCCCCATGCAACCACAGATCCGTCTGCTAGGATCGCAGCAAATGCACCACTTGTGCCCTGGACCTGCTGCACATTCCTGAGCTGATCTTGCACTGCAGAGCTGTCACCACCAAAACCCGGGTGGCCCCATGTGAGTATCCTGCTGCCACCACAGCACCACAGTGCGAAGGCTTGATACCCACTGACATCGATTTTTGTTGTCGCCACCGTTGCTTGTAGTGCAACAGCAGTGAGGCAGTCCTTGTCTTCAACCTGTGCATCCACCAGCGATTGAGAAGGGTCGCCCAAAATGCGCCCGTCTGCGGTGACAAGCCTCAGGAGTCCTTGTTGAAACGATTTCTGGGCCAAAATCTTCAAGTCCCCTACTTTGGAGGACCGAGGAAGTGAAATGCTCTCACTGCGACCGCTTGGCGAAACTACAGTCACTTGAAACATCAATAGAAAGCACAAAAGTTGCTCAACACGACAATACGAGGCGCAAAAGGAACGTTGAGCCAAATTGACTTTTTGGGAAATAGCTGGAGACAAATAAAGCATGCATGCGTGATGTGGACATCCAACCGAAAATCGTGACCTTCCACCAGAAGTTGTTCTTCGTTTACATCCAAACCTGTGAGCAGAACTGAATACAAAAAAATAGAGGAATGTCTTATCATCAAAAAAAAGAAGTTCCTCAACTCACTCCGGCACCTGAATGGGTTCATTCTAGGAATCCGCAGGAGAGTTCCTCCACGTGTTGAGGGCAGGAAACGCCTGAAAACACTGGGTGTTGATGAAGTTCATGGGGCATCCCCAGTCGTCACCATAGGTTTTTACAGCAAGTCAGGATGATGCGTATTACTGGTTGGTGGTTGAGCCCTACCCCCTCTGACAAAATGATGGAGTTAAAGTCAGATGGGATGATGACATTCCCAACATATGGAAAAATAATCCAGATGTTCCAAACCACCAAGCAGTTTTTTACCTATATATTTGAAATATAGTGATCATATTCGACTATCTGACTATATCTGACTATCTACAACCACCTTTTCTTAGCGTGATGTCCTATGTTTCCTCACAGGAGGTATACCTAACCCAGTCAAACTAACATTGTTCACAGTCATACTTAGATGGGCCATGGGATTAGCGATTCATGGTTAGTAACTGGGCATTTGTTGCCCCCTATATCCCAATTATAATCCATTTACTAACTAGTTAACTAACTCCATGGCCCATCTAAGTAACCTCTTCCCCAAGATTGCCCAACATCCAGCCATGAGCCATTCACCGATTCACTGGTATAATCCCATGCAACACATCCCACCATGAAATACTGGTATTTACAACGTATCCAGTAGAATGTGGCCGCCATAATGGTCTACATTGATAACAATAGTTAAAGGGTAGGAAATTGTTTGGGGATTTTTTTTTTTTAGTTTGGGGAATTTTTTTTGGATTTCCGGTTCTCACCATTTTCCATGCTATTTGCAACATTTTGGAGCTGGAAACTGCCATTTCCACGGTATGTGCAACGGTTTTGAGTTCGAACCTCTCATTTTCCATTGTATTTTCCACGGTATTTGCAACAGTTTGCAGCATGTTCTGTCCATTTTCCATGCTCTTTGCAGCATTTTTGAGCTGGAATCTGCATTTCCACCGTATGTGCAACATTTTACAGCTACATTCCTCACAGTACTTGCAGGATTTTGGAGCTGAAGGCTGACATTCCAACAGTTGTTTGTTGTTACTGTTACTGTTGTTGGTGTTGGTGTTGGTGTTGCTGTTGGTGGTGTTGTTGTTGTTGGTGGTGGTGGTGGTCGTGTTGTTGCTGTTGTTGTTGCTGTTGTTAGTGTTAATGTTAGTGTTGTTAGTGTTGTTAGTGTTGTTAGTGTTGTTAGTGTTGTTAGTGTTGTGTTAGTGTTGTGTTAGTGTTGTGTTAGTGTTGTGTTAGTGTTGTTGTGTTGTTGTGTTGTGTTAGTGTTGTGTTAGTGTTGTTGTGTTGTTGTTGTTGTTGGTGGTGGTGTGGTGTTGTTGTTGTTGTTGTTGGTGGTGGTGGTGGTGGTGGTGGTGTTGTTGTTGTTGTTGTTGTTGTCGTTGTTGTTGTTGTTGCTGGTGTTGTTGTTGTTGTTGTTTTGGTGGTTGGTGTTGTTGTTGTTGTTGTTTAGTGGTGTTGTTGTTGTTGTTGCTGTTGTTAGTGTTGTTGTTGTTACCGTTAGTGTTGTTAGTGTTGCTAGTGTTAGTGTTGTTAGTGTTGTTAGTGTTGTTAGTGTTGTTAGTGTTGTTAGTGTTGTTAGTGTTGTTAGTGTTGTTAGTGTTGTTAGTGTTGTTAGTGTTGTTAGTGTTGTTGTTGCTGTTGTTGTTGTGGTGGTGGTGTTGTTGTTGTTGCTGCTGTTGTTGTTGGTGGTGGTGGTGTTGTTGCTGGCGGTTGTGTTTGTGTTGATAGTGTTGTTATTGTTGTTGTTGTTGTTGTTGTTGTTGTTGTTGTTGTTGTTGTTGGTTGTTGTTGGTTGTTGTTGTTGTTGGTTGGTTTGTTGTTGTTGTTGTTGTTGTTGTTGTTGTTGTTGTGTTGTTGGTGTTGTTGTGTTGTTGGTTGTTGTTGGTGTTGTTGTGTGTTGATGTTGCTCCACACCTCATGGCAAAAGCAAAAAAGCAAAGAAAAGCAAAAAAGCAAAGAAAAGCAAAGCAAAAAAGCAAAGAAAAGCAAGCAAAAAAGCAAAGAAAAGCAGAAAAGCGAGAAAAGCAAAAAAGCAAAGAAAAGCAAGGAAAGCAAAAAAGCAAAAAAGCAAAGAAAAGCAAGAAAAGCAAAAAAGCAAAGAAAAGCAGAAAAGCGAGAAAAGCAAAAAAGCAAAAAAGCAAAGAAAAGCAAAGAAAAGCAAGGGAAGCAAAAAAGCAAAAAAGCAAAGAAAAGCAAGAAAAACAAAAAAAGGAATAGAAGCAAAGAAGCAGAGAAGCACTGCAGGAGGCAATAGAGTAAGCAGGAAGAAATCCAAAAAAAAATCCCTAAACTAAAAAAAAAAACCTAAATAAATGGCCCTCCATAGTTAAATATAGTTAAATAGTATAACACCCACTATTTAACAGCCAGCCAAAAATCATGTATCAAACAATCTAATTTTATAAAGTAACACTGCATTATAATGACCCACGGTGTAACCCATTATAGTTACCCATAGTTACCCATCATCAAAAAAAATATCTATCTTATCACTAAAACATATTAAAAAAATAGTATTCACATTTCCCAGGACAAAAGTTTGTTGCTGTCCACTGTTTCAGAATAAAGCAATATATCTCTCTGCGGATCAACGTTATGATTTTAAGAGCAATTTTGCGCGGCCTGCGTGGTGGATCAAATTTACTAGTCGTTTTGAATTAACATTATGTTAAAGGTTACGAATCTGATCCGTTGTCCACGACCCAAGTAGAAACTTCCTTACTAGAAAGTTCTTTGGTAGGAGTCTATGGGGAAACGGTGTTGGAAAGCCCAAGAGGTTTAATTTGTGTCCTGGCGTTGCGTTATTTTTAGGGAGGGGCCTTGTGCCCAGAAGAATTTAATCATTGCAGAATGCACACAGTTGCCTATCATTGCCAAAAAATAAAACACTGAAAAATAATCAACCCCTACAAAAAAAATGGAACATTCATTAAAAATGCTCTGTATATCATGTAATGTGGTTAAAACAAAAATAAACCTTCCCCAAAATCACAATTTTTATGGGTGGTATGAACCATTTCCAGTCATGGATGGTTTATGACATTGTTTCAACCACATTATAGTCAATAGGACTGTTAATACAAAATCATATATACAGTGATGGCCCAACTAAGTCTTATGTTTATGGGATTCTAATGATATATAGCCTCAGTTATATGAGTTTTTTCATCCCATTTATAACTGTTAAGGGCCATAACTGTTTAAGTCTTATGTTTATGGGATTCTTATGATATATAACATTATATAACCAACTAACAGTTATGTTTATGGGATTCCAATGATATATAACCACATGATCTCCTCATGTTTTTTGCTTCAAACCGCCATCAAAGCCTGGCTGCGAAAGAGCTTGGTGACGCGGATGACGCGCAGCACCACCGAGGTATCGTTGTCGATGCTAAACCTGGGACCCGGCCTGGTAAACATACAAAAAGCTATGGAAAATGGCCCAGTCGAAATAGTGGATTTTCCAATGAAACCATGGGTGGATTTTCCAGTTCGTTATGTTTTTACGTTTACCGGTAACGGGTAACCATATGTAACCATCAGCAAAGGAATCAAGACAGAAAAAGCTATGAACATGTTCACTTTATCATACTTTATCGCTGTTCTTTGCAAGATTTTACTTTTCGACATTCTTCTAACAAAAACACTAGCTAGACACTCCATTGACCCAAACCACACGTTGTATTTTACCATGGTACTCTTGGACGTTTACCATGTTCGTAAGTGCAAACTGACTGGTATACGTTATGTTACATTTCGTCTTTATTTTCTCTATACAATGTGCATGCAATAGAACGTGTACCATATATATATATATACACACACGTTGAGTTGCATTGCATCGCATCGCATCGCATTGCATTACATTACATAATTACCTCAATCTTCACCCACAAAGTACCTGCCAAAAGTAGTGGCGGCCAGTACCACACATTAACATATAGGTACCACATGGTACCACCCCCGAAACTGCTGCCAGGAGGCACGAGGTTGAAGACCAAGATGGGAAACAAGGTGACTACATCCACGAAAGCCATGAGAGAATACAAAAATTCCAACTTGTTGCGGCTGATGTAGAACTGCAGGAAATAATCTGCACCAAACAAGATCTCAGTGCCGTTGCGGTGACAAATCATCATCTGGTGACGTCTTGATGGTGTTTCAATTAATCCAAATACATCCAATTACATGGGAAAACATAACATATGTGCCAAATATGTGCAGCAAAGATAGAACCTCTATGATTATGGACTCTATGTGCAGCAAATATTGCAAAAACCCATGGCAAAAATAGCACTTAAGCGAGGGGCGCCCCCACATGAGGATCGATTCCCCTAAAATTGCTGGATTTCCCGTTGGGTTTTTCTCCATCTTTCTCCACACCCAAAAAAAGACAGGCGTTTTTGTGGTGTACCCTCTGGTAAACGTTGACATAACGATGGAAAATCAATGAAAATCACCATGTTTAATGGGTAAATCAACTATTTCGACTGGGCCATTTTCAAATTTTCAATCGTCCTTTGTATGTTTACCAGGCCGGGTATCACCATTTCGGTATCACCATTTCAGCTACCGCGGATACCGAATGGTCACCACGGCACATTGACCACAGTTTCCAACGGCTCGAACCAGGGCTGTGTAATGCCATAGGTCTCCTGGGGCATCGTCCGAAGTTGTGGTGAATTCGTGCCATGGGTTGTGTAAAACAATCGTAAAGCATAAAATGGTCAATCGATTGCAAACAAAATGGTGAATTTATTAACAAAATGGTGAATTTATTGCCAACAAAATGGTGAATTTACTGTCTTACCCTGTTCATGTTAGTAAAACAATAATAGTAAAGCAGTAAAACAGTCCATTGTTTGCCATAAAATGGGTTGTATAAAGCATCAACATGTGGGTGGTTTATTCTTCCTCTAGTCACATTATACGTTTAATGAAGTGGTTAATAGTATAATTGGTTTTTATAGAGGTGACAACGCTGTTTTATTATATAACTGGTTTACAAGCGATTTATCATCATGATCATATTACTGTACATGTAATATTTAACAATTTAACACAAAAAGCTTGATATATGGCTTTGTCCGCCGTTGAACATACAAACACTTGTGGAATATCATGGAAACCCAAGTGGTGGAACATCATCCCACCATGAAAGCTTCTGTGGTTAAGAAAGAACTGCGAATGGTTGGTTTTGACACAGTAACCAGTGCATACAATTATACGTTATACAATAATAATAACAATAATAATAATAAAAATAACAATAAAAATAATAATAAGAAGAATAAGAATAAGAATAATAATAATAATAACAATAATAATAATATACATATATATATATACACGTACGCATAAAACTGTACAATTTGAATAAAACCAGAAAACTTGGGAGAGCCAGAGCACACACTCAAATTGGATCATCATTCCAAACACTGTATTGTTGAACACATATCTGAAAACGCGAAAGCCAAAACTGACAGCCCAAAAGTTGATATGTATCCATCTATATTGAAATATGTAGTTGCTCTGGTGTTCTTCAAACATGGGGCCTCCAAAACGGTCAACACCCAAGCCCCCCTCACTGAAAGGTATTAGCCAAGGTTCCACCACCTAAGCAAGTGAGCGGCTGGACGGAATCCACAGGAATTCAATCGACTGAATACATTACATACCTTGAGACCCTCACTGAAAACCATTCAAAACATGTGTTCCCTGGACATGTTCATACCTTTATCCAGCCTCACAAGAACTGTGAGGATCAGGGTAGGTGTTTGAGCCATACCTCGCCTGAACAATCTCAGGACCCTGCCAAAACCATGGTGCAACAGGTGCTGTTTGACCTACCATTTCTACCTAATCCAATGGTTCATGACCATTCCATCCCCTGGAAAAAATAGGGCCTAAACAATGCATGATCAATCATCTTTTCTCTTCAAAAAGGCATGGCCATTCCCCAAAAAAAAACATTGCCACATTTTTTTTCATGGTTAAATCCCAATGAAATCATCATGTTTTTCACGGTTCATGGCCATGTCAATGTCCCATATTCCGTGCTCATCGACCCTCCGACCGTCGACAAAGGTGCATAGAGTCCACAGAGGATCAAGGATAGGAGCGTTTGCATCTCGTCAATGCGATCGAGAATCTGAAGTCCTTGACCGAGATTCGATCGATTGGATTGGTTTACTGGTTGGTGGTTTTAACCATCTAGAAAAAATATCAGTCAATGGGAAGGATGACATCCCATATATGAAATGGAAAATAAAACATGTTTGAAACCCCCAAGCAGTTTCTTCGGGATTTGTTGAAAGCCCCATGATCTTCACGGGAAAATCACTGGTTGAAAAGGTTAAGATATTCCCATGAAAACCATAGGATTTCACCAAGCAAAATGGGGGGACACTCATGGGGAGATGATCAAAAAAAAAGAACCAGCCGTCTTGTTTTTTTTTCACATGTTCAGTCACACCCATGTATCATATACAGTATATAAGTATATTATATATATAATTAAACTATAATTATATATATATTTCACCGGTTCACCATGCTTGTTGGCTAAATGCCCTAATCAATACAATCCTTGTTGGTTATATATTCCACTAATGATGTTCAGCAATTAATCACCATGAAATTCCAATAAGTCAGGGCTGCTCCCAGCACCCCATGTACCTTTTGGGGAAACCGGGTCATGAAGCAAAATGATCAGTTTCCCCCTCTTGTGGATATGATTCATTTGAAATAGGTTGGAATAAGCCTGTGATATTGTTGGCTGGTCATGTTCAACCCAAAAACCGATTGGATTTACAATGAGTGGTTAGTGTCATTTAGTGTCTATATATGCATTTTAAGTATTCTCCCCGGAAAGAATCTAAGACACCCCCAAACATGGATCCATATCAATAAAATGCTTCTAATGCCAGAGGCTTTTGGTGAAGTCCCAGTTCTTTTCTACTCCCCAGTTGGGGAAACCCTATGACTAGGCACCTTGGCCAAGCTATTCTCCTATGTTGGGCCATGTGTACATCGACTCGTTCATGATCATTCACATAGGTATGGGCCATGGGTGAAAAATCAACGACCCGGGGAACCTCAGATTTTAGTCTATGTTGTTCTTAGTATTAACATCTATTAATCATCCAATTATTGGGATACCCAGTGACTTGACCCATGCCTAAGACTTAAATTCCATTGGCATCCAGCATCCTGCCAAAAAAAACCACCAGCAACGTGTTCGCACCGGGCATCGGTTCAAGAAAATCAGCAGCCGCTGGCGTGTGGTGATGACCAAAGCTGTGTGCTTGGGACCCCTGGAGGACCGGTTCAGCAGCAGGCAGGGACATTGCAGCTGTGTTTGATCCATCTCTCCACCGCAATGACACAATTTTGTGAGGATCGTGGCATACCAAAGGTGTGGACACTTCTACCGAAAAACGCTGGAATCAACTGACCATACTTAGATGGGCCATGGGAAAAACGCGATTTATGGTTAGTAACTGGGGATTAACTAACCCCCTATATCCCAATGAAATAATCCATTTACTAACTAGTTAACTAACTCCATGGCCCATCTAAGTGGACACTTCTACCCCCCCCGCCCGGCTGCGCGCCTGATGCGCCGATAGCATAGAATGATCAGCGTCATCAGCACCTGGACTCCAGGACCATGATTCATGGTGGATTTTGAGAGGAATCATATGGGAATCATATGGGTACCCATACAGTATGGGATAACCATGGATAACCATGGATAAAGACGTTTGAGGTCAGCTTAACTTTGCTTTCTTAAGTGCAAATATCCTTCTGCAATCAAACATCGCTAGCTGGCAAACCATCTATCCATCTTTGGTCACCAAAGGATATATCAACCGATATTCCCAACAGAAAAATGAAAGGCTATGTCGGACTGTCCACACACGACACTGCACTGCCAATGGCACTGCAAATTCTCAATGGGTTTGTCATCATTTCCTATCCTATTTGATCCCAACTGTCATGAGATCCCTATGATCTTCCACTGACATGGCTGGTCTTATACCACCATTTCGGGATACATTCCCATAAATCACAAGGTGGTGCCCCCCAAGTTATAAGTTGGTTTATAATCCCATTAACTATAGATGTATCTACCATAAGTCCTAGTTATTAGAGTTATAAACCAACTTAGCTATCTTGGGGGCACCACCTTGCACCATCTTGGCTCCCAATAAATCGCCCTTTCTGTTAGTAGAATCCCTCGTTTTCGCCGAAGGCGCATAGTAGCCGGCCATAGAGCCCACCAAAATCAGCAGCGCGGCATACTCCGGCACCCCTGTCCTGGGTGCCGAATTGAGGGTTTCCATGGGAAAAATGCTGGGTGAACATCCACGAATGGAGGGGTTGTTGGAGTTGAATGAGAAAAAATGTCAGATATACTTAGATGGGCCATGGAGTTAGTGAAAACTAGTTAGTAAATGGATTATAATTGGGATATAGGGGGCAACAAATCCCCAGTTACTAACCATAAATCGCTAATCCCATGGCCCATCTAAGTACTCTCTGGGAATTTCACCCTGCCGCAACGGAGATTGGGGGACGACAGATCTTCTTCAGCACGCAAGCTTGTAATCACTGTCTGACCATACCATGGGTACCCTGAAGTACAACTTGGCAATTGAAATTCCCCATTGACTTTGTGGATGGTCGTCTCCGGTTACCCAAATTTGCTGTCACCCTTTGCTATGGTACAAGAAGTTGATAGCTGGCTGTTCTATTCCTGCAGAATATAATACGTTTTGTGGCTGAACATATGTTAAATTACAACCTATCCAGTGGAAATATCACTTTTTGTCGCTGGGAAGTATCGAACGTCGGACAAACATGCCATCGAAAACCTCCCAAAAAACCAGGAGGTGAACCCAGCAAACACGGGAAACGTTGTCAAGGCTCGTGTTGTTAATCAGCATGGCTTTTCTTCGTCGCCTCACAGATCCTGACACCAAGGATGGGGAAACGGTTTCCGACCATTCGCAACCTTGGGTTTTGACATTTTTTTTTAAGCCAAAAACATGTGGTGATTACACTTTAAAACAATAAAGTGGTTGTTGGATGATGGTGTTGTTCGCAACAAAGGCTGCTGTGGACCACTGGGAGGAATACATGTTCTCAATCTCATCCATTTCTATGGACAGGGCCTTAGGTATAAGATCCCCATTTGGTGTATAATCTTAGCATGGCCAATCTTGGATACTTCCGTATATAGCCCCAAAGAAGTTGTTTGGGGCTGGGGGATTTCTCAATCATCCACCATTTTTGTGGCATCCTGGACCTTTGGAATCCACTGGAAAATCATCAAGATATCCCCATCAATTGATGGTAATGCTTAAGGGTATACCATCACGGGGATACTATATGATACTATACTTTTGTTTGATGCCATATTGAAAATATGCCATGAATTTTCATGGCATAGAAAAAAAAATCTGGACAAACAAAAACAGCGAAAAAAACCATGTAGATCGTAGATCACCGAGTAAACACTTCTCATACATCTCAAAAGAACCTGGTAATTCAGCAGCAAAAGGATGCCAATGCAAAACAAAAATGGATCCTGTGAAATCCAATCCCCTATATTTTCCGGAAAAGAATATGAATTCCTGAACATTTTCCCTTGAAGCCTGAAACCAGTCCTTCTTGGTACTATGAAGCTACCCTTCTCGGCGGCCAAAGAGAGTCGTCGTGACGCCACTCCAACGACATGACGTCAAGGCAACCACCGACGTGGGTCCACGGAGCAACACGGTGCAAATAGAAAATATTGCTGGAAGAGGTGACATTGCATTTGCACTATCTACCATCTACGATACAAATTGTTACACCAGCTACTCTCAATTTATCCATCGTCTAGCTATATCACTGCTATCACTTACCCTCCGGTAATTTAACATAGCCATGGAAATCACCATGTTTAATAGGTAAACTATCTATTTCTATGGGCCATTTTCCATGGCTATGTAAAATAACCAGAGGCTATCACCACTTGTCATCCAGCTCTCACCATAGATCTGGGCCAATTGCTGGACCCTTCATCCGCAACTTGCGCCTAGGATTTGCATCGTCCGGCGTCCCTTGTGGCACCATACTTTCATCCACCACACTGCGAGGCCGGGCAAGGCATTCCCCAGTGATATCCCACAATCAGTGAACCAAAACTAAGAACATCGAAGAACTAACAAGACTGAAACATATATCACCAACTGCAATGCATACATCAATCAGAATTACCGCAGTATCTTTTGGGGTCGCGTCCATCTACGAGTCACGCCCTTTTCTCGCCGTTTCGCTCCTGTGGGCCTGTGAACCCAACTTTTCACATGGCCGCCACAGCGTGGCGAACGATCGGTGCGGTGGCATCGACTTGGTGCGTTCCCACCAAAACAAAGTGATCTAAAGAGTCTGGGCTTGTCTAAAAATAGGGCACCCCCCCCCAAAAAAAAATATAGTAATGAATTAAGATGTCATCTTCCCAAATGAAATTGCCATTTGGGGGTGTACATATCATATAGCCCATTTTAGGACAGACCCATCTAACAGGAATCGATGTTCAGAACCACCCAACACGATCCACCCGACTCTCAACGCAACAAGCGTTGGACATCCTTGTTGCCTGCAGCCATTTTGTCCAGCTGATCATGTTGTCCAGCCCTCAAAGGGACCCCAATCCTGAGGGTGCAGGCCACAGGTGCTATAACTACACTATCTCTATATATATATATATACTGTATATATTGCTTTGGGTCAACATTTCAATTCCATCAAAAGCTGGCTTAAAATCCACCCAGCTTTACGGACCCCATCCTTGCCCATTTGAAGCGCATGGCCAGCTGGAAATTTATCCATTTCGTTGGGGGATTTCCCAGCGGCCCGCCATGTCTGATGCTGGAGGGTATATCATTAAATCATATTAAGTATCCTATATTTGTTGTTGCTATATATATATATATATGTATAAATATCATTTCAACATGTTTTAACCTACTCTATTCAACCACTATTATATATAATTTATATATAAATATTATGTCACCATTTTTTAACCTATACTTAACCATTATTCAGCCCACCACCCCCCTTTCTCTCCGCATCTTCACCAGGTCTCTTCCGGAGCAGGCGCAAAGCGTCCACGCGGCCGCGGAGTCGCAGAGCTTGGGAGATCAGGTCCAAGGACGCCTGGCGATGGCAGGACCAGCAACAGATGGGGGGATGGCTTCACGATGACACCAGCAACAGATGTACCAAATCGAAGACTGTTTACCCTCTGGTTATGTCAAAATAGCTATGGAAAATCACCATGTTCAATGGGAAATTCCGCTATATATGGTCATTTTCAATAGCTATGTTAAATTACCAGAGGGTAACATGTGAAATAACCATCTTGAAAAATGGAGTTCGTTAATGGGAAGGATGACATCCCAATTGACAATAAAAAATGTTTGAAACCACCAACCAGAAGAAACATATGTTGATATTAAAATATTATCATAGCCCTATAAATCATGGGAAAAACTAAGAGTCAACAGGTGCAGGATTTCACAACCAACCACGGTATTTTGATATTACAATGTTTTATCATACCAAACGGGGATATATAGACTCACTTTAGATTGAAAAAAATGATTGTAATTCCAAATGGTGGCCCCTCAACTCGGCTTTGTCCTTGAACATGGGGATGCAAAACCAACTATTTCGTAGGACAGAATGGGATAAAGATTACCCTCTGGTTATTTAACATAGCCATGGAAAATCCATAAAATAAATGGAGGTTTCTAGCTGGGTAAATCAACTATTTCTATGGCCATATTCAATAGCTATTTTGACATAACCAGAGGGTATACCCTCTGGTAAACCAACATAGCTATGGAAAATCACCATTTTTCATGGGAAAATCAACTATAATTCAACTATTAATGGCCATGTTCAATAGCTACGTTAAATTACCAGAGGGTAAATCGTATTACTATGTGACACCTCAATAGATGTGTGTTCCAAACGGTGGGGATTCAACCAGCAACGGTTGATGTGTTGCGCAACACTAAAATGATGTGTAAAAACCATAGAAATAATTGATTTACCCATGAAAAATGGTGATTTACCCATGAAAAATGGTGATTTGCCCATTAAAAATTGTGATTTACCCATAAAAAATGGTGATTTACCCATGAAAAATGGTGAATTACCCATGAAAAATAGTGAATTACCCATTAAACATGGTGAATTTCCCATCAGTTATGTTAGTTTACCAGAAGGTATATACGGAAAAAAATAACTATGAACCATGGTGATAAAAGCTGGTTGGTGGTTTGAACCCCTCTGAAAAATATGAAAGACAATGGGAAGGATGACATCCCATATAACCCATATATTATGGTAAATATAACATGTTTGAAACCACCAACCAGCCAAGCAAATTGGTGTCTAAGTCATTTGGCCAGACCTCCAAATATAGTTATCCACCACTAAAGTCTAAGGGGGATATCATGGGATATGTATAATATATAACCAACCGTTTGAGATGAGTGACGGGTATGTCAAACAGTTGGGAATCTATACTCCAAAAGAAAAATATGTGATGTTCACTGGGAGAATTACGACCAACCATGGGACTTTGGGCACGTTGTCCCGCAAGTTCTGGGGAATGTTTGGCAACATGTGTTTTCTTTGTCTTACTCTATGGTTTTATATTCAACGTAGCTAGGAAGTTCACCGATTTTATAGGTAAATCTTCAAACTATCCATGGATCTAAATGGGCCATATGTTCATTAATTTTCCATAGCGATGGAACACTTTGCCAGAGGGAAAAAATGCCTTTTCTCTCTTTATTGGGCATCTCGATGGTCAAGGCATTTTGTTCGGTGAAGGATAATTTGTTACGCCTGCTGCTGCATTTGCCCCAAACCCACAAGCAACACCTCAGCGCGACGGTTCGAGATATGGCTGCCTGGACAATCCCCCGTGTGAACAGGTGTAATTTTCTTAGCTACAAATCTCCAATTATAGGGGATTTGCATGGATTTGCCACATTGCCACGTTTACTTATGAAGGTATCCATAAATGTTCATGGAAACACATATGGCAATCAAACATGGCACGGGGAGATCTCCAAGTGGCGTTGATGTCAGCCCACTCTCTTCGAGGCAGCAGCTCCCTTGGAGCTGGGAAATCCATCGGGGACATTGATCATTGGGGAACTGTCCAGCTAGCCATGTTTGATTGAGGCTACCTGCTATTTTCGGTGCACATCAATCCACCTTAAAACCATGTGAATGATTGATGTTTCATCCAAATTTCTGATGATCCGCAGTTTTTGTTAATCTTTTAAACATGGGAAAAACTCTCTTAAACATTCTCAACATCACAATATCGGGTTTAACATGGTTTAACTTCTGTTCACATAGGATCTTCACATATCTGTTCTTTCTTAAACACCAATCTGGTTGGTGGTTTGAACCCCTCTGAAGAATATGAGTTCGTCAGTAGGGATGATGACATTCCCAATATGATGGGACAAATCATCCACATGTTCCAAACCACCAACCAGCAATGGTTCAAAATATCCTAAGTGGCTTCGGAAACAGCACCATCATTAACCATTATTAACCATTAAAAACCATCATTAACCACTAATAATTATCATTAACCATCATTAATCAAAATATCCTAAGTGGCGAAACAGCAACCCCCATTTTCCACGATGGGCAGCCCGGACTCCAGCCGCATGCGAGTCTCCTCGGGCGTCTTGCTGCGCACCTCGCGTGGCGCTGCGGCAACGGCAACGGCAGTCCGGCAACGGTGGCATCATGGCGGTCTTAGGGGATTTAAGGGACCAGAAAACCCTGGAAATAAGGTGATTGAATGGGATTTAATGGTGATTTAATGGGATTTGAAACACTCAATATGGGAATTTCCATGGGATTTAAGCAACAAACATGGTACTTTAATGGGATATCATTGATATCACCAGCAAAAATGAGGACTTCATTTGACTTTATGGCAATTAATGGTGGTCTTGTGGGAGCTTGTTGGATTTAACCATCTCCCATATGCTGCATATGCTCCATGGTGGTGGTATATGTACCTACATTGCTGGCCATGTTTAGAGGTAACCATGGAGCGTTTGGGGTATATGTACCACCATTTACTTCCAACAATGGCCAGTCACGTAGGCCAAAAAAAAATACATATATCATACATGCAGCATCTGCAGCATATTTAAAATTCTCATTACTGATGATCCATTAAATAAAAAGAAGTTCCATTAAAAATACCATTGTTCTATTAAAAAACATAGATGTCCCATAGATGTTCCATAAAAAAACGACCAAAAATCATGGGACTTTGGAATTTCTCTCCCCTAAAGTCCCGAAATCACCGAGCGTTCGAACCCATTTGAGTTGGTTGGCGATGCGGTGCACGTGGGTGTCCACACCTCAGGCAGGTGAGAAACCTGGGAAAAAAATGGTGGGAAAGTCATATCATCTGTCACATGTGGGTTAATGTTACCATCTGGTTCTGACATTCACAGTTTGCGAACTGGAAAGATCCACCATGCTATTAAGAACCGGTAAACCATCTATTTCTATGGACCATCTATACCATGGCAAACTGTTAGTCATAACCAGAGGGTAGCTTTCTATTCTTTTGGGGGGGATGGCATGGGATGGCAGTGATTAGTGTTCTATGATTCGTTCTATCTTTTGGGGCGATTATTGATGACACCCCAGGGCCCCAGTGATAGTGGAACAATTGAAGCCTGGGATTAGTGATAAAATGTGATAAATGATTGGATGGTAATTCACCCCGCTTCGCGTGGGGTGGCCGCCCACACCGCAGGTTTATTTCGGTCCGTGAGAGGGGCTAAGGGTGGTTTTCCCCCGTGAGGGCTCCCCAAGCTAAGAATTTTAACTTTCCCCCCCCCGTGGGGGCTCCCCAAGCTAGGGAATTTTAACTTTTCCCCCCCGTGGGGCTCCCCAAGCTAGGGAATTTTCACTTTTCCCCCCCGTGGGGGCTCCCCAAGCTAGGGAATTTTCACTTTTCCCACCCGTGGGGGCTCCCCAAGCTAGGGAATTTTCACTTTTCCGTGGGGGCCCCCAAGCTAGGGAATTTTCACTTTTCCCCCCCGTGGGGGCTCCCCACCCCCGTGGGGGCTTCCCAAGCTAGGGAATTTTCACTTTTCCCCCCCGTGACAGCTTCCCAAGCTATGGAATTTTCACTTTTCCCTCCCTTGGAGGCTCTCCAAGCTGCGGAATTTCAAATAGCTAGACAACGACGCCTAGATAGTCCCCCAAATCCCGTGTTCTTTGAATGTGTTTCCATGTTTTTGCAATGGTTTCCTTCAAAGCACGGTACTTTACACTTTTGTCGCCATAAAACCGGTCGAAAACATCATGTTCGACAATGCTTCCAATTCCCTTATCTCCCCAACCGTTGAAAATACCGCTATTTACAGTGTTTTCTTCAATTTTTCCATGTTCCAATGCCGGTAGCCAACTCCAACATATATATAAGAAATCCTTCCAAAACATTGTTTTTGACAGTGTTTTTCCAATGTTTCCAGTCAAACAGACGGTAATTTACACGTTTTTTGCCATAAAGGCAGTAAATCCTTCCAAAACATTGCTTTTGACAGTGTTTTTGTAATGTTTCCAGTCAAGCATACGGTAATTTACACGTTTTTTGCTATAACGTCAGTCCAAAACACTTGTTTTTGCAGTGTTTTCAATGCTCTGGCATCCAAAAACCCTGCAAAATCTTGCTATGTACAATGTTTTTTTCATTTTTGGCCGTTTTTCCATTGCCGGAAAGCTACCAAAATGACCCAAAATTCCATTTCAATACCCTCTTGCGCTCAGACACCCAAAAATCCTCGAAAAATGTCGAAAACACCACCGTATTCTGGTCTCGGTGCGAAACCGTTTTTGGGCCCCCCCCCAGCTAAAGCTGATATAGCGACTGCTATATTAACAAATGTCATTGAGCATTTAGTGTTGCTGTTTTGCCCCCCAATAAGCACGCCTTCACCGCCAAAGCGGTGTGGGCGGATTTGATGGGTATTAAGATAGTTGGCGATATTCGTAGCTTAGATTCTTGGACATGGGGATCCCCACTATAGTGAGATTTAGATTTTTAAATGTGTAAATGGTACTCACCATATCAATCAACAGTGAATGAATCCGGGACCATGACTTAGCAGGGAGCTCGGCTCGACGCGAAGCTCGGCTTGTCAAAACGACGCGTCGTGGAGGTCCAACATATCATGTCGCTGATGTTCATGTGTTCTGAATTTGGATGTAAACCCATAACCCACTATATCATATAATAGATACTAGTAGTTATATACTATAGAGATAAATAAATATATAATATAGTAATATAATAGATACTAGAGATTTTTATAAAGCACAAACCCAAGTGTAGCATTTGAAGCTATTCAAAATTATTAAAACCCATGGTTTACATGGGTTTACCACATTCTATAGCCATCGTGGACAGCCATGAGGTCGTTTTACCCAAGGTGCGCCGCTCACTGGATCTGTCCCCCAAGCACTGGGTCACCGGGAATCGCATTCTACAAAAGGCTGCTAATTATTATTCAACTATATATCCATTGATCAAAGTCCTGCAAATTGTCCTTTGAATTGAAATCACAATTTCTGCTGCATTGAAATTCCAGCAATGTGCTTCCCCCGCAGTTGTAAGTTTATAAACCTTGTCAACTACAGACTATAGATATGGGCCACGGTCAATTTTTAGTATATAGCTCCAAGTCATCAATTTTTGAAGAGTGTATTGTCGTTTTTCAGGCTTGGGGAATATAGCAAAGGTTTCGTTTTTTGAAGAATGTATTATCGTTTTCCAAGCCCCAGCTCAAATATCAAAAAAAAATATACCATAAACATCCATAAACCATACTTAACCGACTTAACCTGGTTATAAACCAACTTAGAAAAGTACTGGGCACCACCTTTTTTTTGCGTGCTGTGTTTTATTCGCAGTTTCCCATCTTGGTTCGGTTGTGGACACCACTGCCAAGTTGCAAATGCCTTCCTGCCGATCGAAGGCGCTGTGCATGATCAAATGTGCCTGGAACAATCGGTGATAAAAAGCGGTCAAGCTCTAAACCTGCATGCATCATGCCATGTTCGGGGGTTTTCCAGCCAGCCATCTTTGTCCTGTGGTGTTAGCCCCTGGGGTACCATGGGGTAGCATTTGGAGCCACAATTGATGGATATGTATGGTAAAACTGATGCTAAAGTGTAAAATAAGTACATGGAGCATAATATAGCATATGGGAAACTATAACTCTGTGATGCAACCTCCGGTAATCAAACATTACATGGCAATTGAATGCAATTGAAAACTACACCGATTATTTTTCCAGCTAGAAACCTCCATTTAGCTCGGGGGATTTCCAATTAACCATGTTTGATTACGAGAGGGTACAGTACCTATTTGCTTAAACAACTATTTCAGCATCCATTTTTCGGGAGTGACTTCGCCATTCCTACTTGTCGTAATGGAGTCTCGTGCAAAATTTGGAGTCATGTTTGTTGCTGAAAGTGGATTGCTAAAGGATAATACACACCAGCGCACCATTTTTCACAAACTGGTTTCCTACAAACTTTCCCATCTTTCCCCAGCGATTCTAGGGTTGGTTCAATTTCCCAGGCTTTATCTGACTCTTGTCGGTTAAATATGTTAAATCCCAAGTTTTCTTAAGGTGAAATCAGGCGGATGCCGTGAATGCCCTATTCAAACCGCCCGCGCACCATCTTGGGTCCGATGCCCGGAAGCTTCATCAAACCCTGCCGTTGAGTGAAATCAAAAAAACACGCAAGTACCCAAGGCAACCAAAGTTGACAGGTGATTCTTGATATTATGGATTTATACAAGATGATTGATGGATATTTATGGCATTCAACCATCTGACATGGTAATTTTATGGGATTCAACCAACAAGCAAGATGGTTAGGGATTGGTTTCTTGATGCTGTGTTCATCCCCGCTGCAAACTTTTCACTGATCCATCTAATCCCAGACAAACTAAAATCCGAAGTACGCGCGTGGCTACAATCCATGGAACTATAGTTTAAATCTGGGAGAAGTGAACTTGCGGTCCACTGGATATTCCCAGAAATTATCGGATAAACACTTCACATAAATCAAGGATAAAACGATATAAAACGGGTTTCAACTTGGACCCCCACATGCTGGATCCACTGGATCCATCCAATTGGGAGAATGAACATCAATCTACCAGTTATAAATTCATTGGAACAGAAAAGGTACCTAGGTTTTCGATCCACAAGCATCTAGTTATACATAATACTTACTCAATTGGATATGAATTGGCCCTACAGTGGTGCTCCAAATACCATCTGAGTCTCGGTGTTTAGACTGTTTAGACCCAAAAAAAACAGCTCCATCCATACAGTCTGAGTCTCGGTGTTTGGAGCTGTAGGGTGGCATCATTATCGGGGGGGATGCTCCATGCCCGGTCCATGCCCCAGTCAGATGGTCTCACCTGGTGGAGTTTCCATGCGGAGTATGGGCGGAAAAAAAAGTCGAGACCACGATGATATCAACCATCAAGTGCACAATCGACCCCCATGATGAACATCAACGATGATGATGATGATGATGATGGTGATGGTGATGGTGATGATGATGGTGATGATGATGGTGATGGTGATGATGGTGATGATGATGATGATGATGATGATGGTGATGGTGATGGTGATGGTGATGATGATGATGATGATGATGATGATGGTGATGGTGATGCTGATGGTGATGGTGATGATGATGATGATGACGACGATGATGATGATGATGTCGATGTCGATGTCGATGTTGATGATGGACAAGGACAAGGACGAGGACGAGGACGAGGATCGTAATAGTGACGACGATCAAATCATCAAATCACCAAACTGCAAGTTGCCCCATCATGCAATTGTCCAATCATCCAATCATTCAGTCACCCAATAGTTTAATCATCCAATCACTCAATCATGTACGTCTAAACCCCCATTATGGGTCAGGAAAAAAAAATGTAATGTCATCTTCACCATTCTATGTCAGAAACAACAGCACAAGTTCTTCAGGTGAAATACCCTCTGGTAAACGTTTACATAACTGATGGGAAAATCACCATGCTATGAATGGGTAAATCCACTGTAAATGGGCCATTTTCAATAGCTATGTTATATGTTAGTTTACCTGCCTCCAAAGTGTTGGGGATGCGCCCCTTGTAATCCTTCTTGCAGATCCTCCATGGCGCGCTGCGCACAAGCGGCTGGGAGCGGAGCTTGGCTGGACGAAAATGTCCAGATGTAAACGGTGGTTCTGAAACCACCAAACAGAAAAACACAAACAATAAAGCTATAGAAATCTATAATTAGAATTCTATAGAAATCTATAGAAAACACATCTTCCAAAGCTTTTCCTCTAAAAACAATCACCACAATTTATTCCAAACCCTTTCTGAAGCGGCTCCCTGTAGACTTCCAAAATCAGCCTCTCCTGGCAGCTTCTCTCAGGGTCTTGGCCTGAGTGACGAGCGAGTTGTCTTGGAGAGGGCGTCGTTGAGCCCCAATTTACGGCCATAAAATGTGGAAAATCCATGAAAAAACCATGATAAACCTTTGGATGGATGTTGGGCTGTTGCGGGGTCCAAATTTTTAGACAAGCCCAATGATGGTTCGATGATGTTCGATGCAGATTTTCTGGATGTACAATTCGCAAATTGAAACGCAAAAGTGGGAAAATTTCACCGATGATAATCTGGTTTGTGGTTCAAGCAACCTGATAAAATCAAAAGTGTTGGCCGCCGGCCAGACGTGCTGGGTTTTCAACCACGATTGTTTGGTATAGATTAATCATGACTTATACGCATCATCAGCAACATCATCATCGTCATCATCATTATCGTCATCGTCATCGTCATCGTCGTCGTCATCATCATCATCATCATCACCACCCCAATCAAGTGCAGGGACTAAATCCCATTTGGTTTGCAGCACTCACTCACTTGTTTCTAGGAAAACCAAGAAAGTAACGGTACCTTTAAAAACATTCCAAGAGAAGCCTTACAAAATTTCGCTCTTCATAATTGGTATTTTTTGTTCTGCTCAACCCCAAAGTTATTTTCAGTATTGGCCATGGGCTTAGCGAACTACAGTCAGTTCACAAACTACATGGCCCGTGAGTAAATCCGACAAATAACAAATATGGTATTCACCCTTGTGAGCACGTAAGTCTTGTCAATTTTTGAACTAGGCAAATGATTCCCACAAACACACAGCACCTTCGTGTTTTTGTTGAATCTCATTCAACCATTATTTTTCTTGCTGGTAAATCCATTTAAATCCCAATCCCATTCAACCCATCCAAGTTATCAGTTGGATGTTTACACCTAATCCACGTATTTTCGGACATAAATCACCATTTTCCATAGTTCGGTCATAGAAAGTTGGATCGTTCATGATCGTTCCATAGTTAAATCCTAAATCCAACCTACAAACCATCCAAGTCATCAGTTGGATCTTTCAAACCCTGGATCCACCTGGATGCATCCTGGCCCTGGCGGCCTTGACGTTGAAAAAGCCCACGGCTTTGATGAGCTTCGCCACTTTCCCCACGGAGGCGCTGCAGATGCGCTGGACGCTGTTCACCTTGGCGGCCTCCAGGGCCGCCATGGCCTCGCCAAGGCGGAGAAAAGTGGGACCTTTACCCAGAGAAAATGTGGATTTTGCAGATTGAACATGTGGATTTGCAGATTGAACATGTGGATTTGACCACTGAACTTGATCCGGAAAAAACAACGATGTACAGATGATCAAGAAAAAAGAGAAACCAATGGATATCAGAAAACAACCCGACAACAAAGATAACACCAACGCTAAGAATCGCTCTCCCTTGCTCATTATTTCCAACCTTACCATTCTCATCGCATGAATATAGCAACCGTACAGCTATAGGACCACCAAAAAGACAAATAGCAGTACTACTCACCATCAATTGGTAATTGGAATAATACTACTCACCACCAAGTTGTGTTTGTTGGATTATAACCCCAACTGACTAGTTCGATATATCTACCATACATCCAATTGTTCACCTACATATCTCAACTAAATTAGAAAAGGTGCATTGGGGCATCACTTTGTCCAATTTCAATCCAAGTATATCCCGTCATATCCCATTAAAGGCCACTATATCCCATATATATATATATATATTCTAAAACCTCATCAACTACCCCAACATATTACCATCACCATCATTGTAAAGAACACACATATACATACATACATACATACATACATATATATATATATATATGTGGCATGTATCTGTATATACATATATATCATATTGCAATATATTATACATGTGCCACTATTCTGAATATCTCCAAAAACATCTCGAGTCCTCCCATCAAACAATCCCCATCAAATAATGAAAATATCTTACAATCACCATAGACCCAACCCCAAGATGAAACCCGATGAAATCACCAACAAATGCGCCTCCGCCGTGGCTTGGTCTCGAGTCTGCGAGGACAGCATGGCGGCCACCAAGCCTCGGGAGGGCTCGGGGGCACCACGACTCAGTAAAGCATGTTTTCATGTGGCTAAAACAATGCCATGTTTACCATCCCCCAGTCATCATCATTTTTATAGGTGGTAAGTAGAAAAACAATCACGTTCCCAGGAAAATGGGAAGTTTTTTATGATTGATTACCCACATTAGATCATATAGTGTTCTCCTGGAGTAGAATATGGATGAATGTATCTGGGTAAATTATAATATTTCACCAACCTGAATTAAGGCCATTAGGGGATGATTTCCCTTACTAACCATGATTCCAGTGAGGTCGCAGTGAGGTCGTTATAACTTAACCAGATGTATGGATATTGAAAAAACATGAAAAAACATGGGATAGTCGATGATTGGTGACATAAAAACAGACATATTGATGTTATTCACTTCGACACTAGATCGTGTGTCTACAACACTGCAGTAGATGATGATTGGTGATATAAAAAAAAAAAGCTGACATATACGTACATATAATACATACATAGTTACAAATATATATATATATTGTAACAATGGTGATACAGCAAAACTAAGAATGAATGTGTATATCTGTATACAGTATATATAGTATATTATATATATTATGGATATTTATCAATGAATATGTTGATTTACGCACCAACATGTCAACATGTATCTGGGTATGATTGAAAATATGTGATTCACTTGCCATAAATTGACCTTTTTTTTAAGGCATCACGAGCATGAAACATTCAATTTGGGGGTACCTGTTTTAAGATAGGAATTGTTATTTTATCTTAACAAACATGGTTGATTCATCCCAAATTGGTTGGGGGTAACAGACCCTCACATGCTTTGATAGGATGAATCAACCAAAAAAAAAATGGAACCATCAAATAGTTATTGTTTGACCAAAATTTAGCCAATGCTTCAACCAATAGGAGCCATCCACCGCACATACTTGGCGAATGTCGCCGCTTTTGGGATCCATTGGTCCATGCTACTTCTGGTGTCACCCCAAGCCCGAAGTCAATAGGGCAATACACTGCAACGCAAATGTAGGTAACTACCATTGTCTATACGGTAGGAAAATGGCCTCAAAATGATGGATGTCTATATATATATTGATAAGTTTATTGCCCTAAAGGTAACCTAAATACCCAAGCTGTGGGGAGCAAGCTACTGGCAGATTCAGGATTGCTGCCTCATTCATCACTCGCATACTGATTGAATTTCGAATGAGCATGATTTTACCCTATAGCATTTCATATCCTGGAAAATTGAGCAACTCGGCTGAAATTGCCCATGTTTGAGCAGCTTAGCTAAGTACCGGAAACCATCTTGTACTACCGGTGAAGCCCAGTGATGAGTTGGTTCAAGTGGTTTTTTTTTAGCCATTGACTGTAGTTATATCATCCATAAATCCAAGTTAACCAAGTCTGGTTGGTGGTTGAGCCACCCTGAAAAATATGAGTTCGTCAGTTGGGATGATGACATTCCCAATATATGGAAAAATAAAAAATGTTCCAAACCACCAACCAGAAGTTATAAGTTTACTTAGCTATCTGGAAGGCCTCCCATTAGAAATCATTGCCAATATACCACTGGCTACCACTGCTACACGGGGTTCGCAAGGAAGTGGGGCACCCCGCATTGCCATTCAAAGTCTGCCTGGGCCATGGTGCTGTTTTTTCTTTACCAAGATGTTATTTCAAAAAATGACAAGTCATGTAGGTAAATATACTACTACTACTCCTACTACTCCTACTCCTACTCCTACTCCTACTACTACTACTACTACTACTACCACTACTACCACTACCACTACCACTACCACTACCACTACCACGACTACTACTACTACTACTACTCCTACTACTCCTACTCCTACTCCTACTCCTACTACTACTACTATTACTACTACCACCACCACCACACTACTACTACTACTACTACCACTACTACCACTACTACCACTACCACTACTACTACTACTACTACTACTACTACTACTACTACTACTACTACTACTAGCACCATAGAGCATATGGGTATGCAAAACCTATGTTTCTGGGGAAAACAGTTGAAACCAAATAAATCATATGATTTAGTTACAATTCAAGTACCTCACCGCATCATAAATCCAGAAGTGTAAAGCAGCATTTACACATAGTTACACGATGTGGGCACATAATTGACATGTTGATCACCAGCATAAAGTAAAACCAAAGACAAGCCCATGAAACCTGGCAGTATTCAACATCTTTGTCACTAAATAATCATGCTTCATTGCCAATCTCAGGTACCCTGCCTATAGCTGGTATTGTTGCTGGATGGATTTTTCATCTCCACCAAAAACAGAACCAGATTTAAGTTGTACTCAACTGTTCATCCAGGATTCAAAGTTTACCGATATTTCGATGGTCAAGCCGGTCAAGCCGCCAATTTCTATGGTTGATTCACATAGAATGACAATGTGTGCTTCGCTAAATCTCATAGAAACACATGTATCTAATGTATCTATGATCAAATCCCAATGAAATCAGTAGTTTTCATAATGAATTCCCTAAGTCACCATCTTTTACAATCAAATCCCAACGAAAATCATGATGGTTAAATCCCCCCCATCTAAGTGCCCTTCATCCAGTATTTCTTGGTGCCCAACGGCGGTCCAGTGCCCAACGTCCCAGTCCGTCCTGGGAGGCGTTCACATTGGCCAGGCGTTCACAGCCTATCGAATCCACAGGCGCCGAGCGCCTGCAACATGGATGGGTCAAAAGCCTTCAAGGTGGTGCCCTTCCCAGTTATAAATGGATGTTTAGATGGAACACATCATCATCATGGTTTAATAATCCATTTATATGGTTTAGATTAGGTTAATAATGGAAAATCATGGTTATCATTGATCATCAACATCATAAATGGATTATAATCCCATGAAAACTAGATCGATATATCACCATGTATCACCTATAAACCATAGTCATTGGACTTATAAACTAGTACTTAGAAGGGCCATGGAGTTAGTTAACTAGTTAGTAGATGGATTATTTCATTGGGATAGGGTTATATCCCCAGTTACTAACCAGGAATCGCTAATCCCATGGCCCTTCTAAGTACTTTTGGTAAATATCAAAATTGCTGGAAAATGACATGTGGCCATGGATGTTAAAACCCCAACATCGAATGCTATTTATAGGTAGTTGGCAACCATGGCCGTATGGGGAATTGTTGGCAACATAAAAAAAAATATATATTGGAAAACTATACCAGCATATTTATTGTTTCTGGTTGGTGGTTGAGCCCTACCCCTCTGAAAAATGATGGAGTTCGTCAGTTGGGATGATGAAATTCCCAATATATGGGAAAATAAAACATGTTCCAAACCATGCCAAACCATCAACCAGGGTTTATATTCACCAAGTAATTTACGATTTACCTAAAAAAAATGTCAGTCCTTCAGAGTCCAAGGTAGAAGTGACCGGATGGACTGAACATGATCTCCATTTGAGGGTCATTGCAATTGATGTTATGTCGGATCAACAACAAAAATGGGAGATCAACCGTATCAACCATATTTAACAATCAATATTAATTAAGGAGATTAAGAACTATTGAATTGTCCGAAAACGGATGATCATGGAGTATAAAACAAGAAACGATGGCCGATGGCCCAAGCACCAATAACATCTTGTTTTTGCTTGCTTCAATCTCCAAAATTCGCTGCTTTTCGTTCCGGCTTTTTGTTGCTAGAATCACGCAAAATAAATTGTGGGTGATATCCGCAAGCATGATCCGTCCAAGTAAGGTCCTCCTGAAACAAAATAAGACAGGTCTCAAAAGAGGCAAATGTTCACATCACCAGAATCTTCAGTTTGGATTGTATTATCTGGAAATTATGTTTAGTTACCATAATGACCCAAAAAATATGAATCCGTAGATGGTCATTTCCGCTGCAAAAAATAAACATAAAACCCATCCCCACCAGTCCGGCAGGTAACCACTCCTGGCTCTCAATCGCTTGATCAACGCGAGGTCATTTTTCCAATCTCCTTTCCTGACGATCCCAATCTGACAATCTTCAGCACAAAGCTCTTACACGGGATTACGAAGAATCGTAATATTCATATAATGCACCAGACTCAAACTAGAGTGAAGGAATGTGATTATACTGAACTACCATTGAATTACCCACCTTTTGAATTACCGTCCCAAATGATTCATATGACTTGTAGCAATGGTGAGGCTATGGTCATCCCAGCAGTTATGGAACTTCCCGGTGATGACCCCAGCCTTTCTTTTTCCTGCGGTACAAAACAAACATGAAACAAGCGGCAAGTGTAAGATTCATTGGATTGGTTTAAGGGAAGATTTACAGGAAAGCCCCATATTTAATGGTAAAAACCATGGTTTCCTGTAGATTTTCCCTTAAACCAATCCAATGAAAGATAATGTAAGTGTAATTCTCAACACCAAAAAAAACTGCGCAGTGTTGTGAAGAAGCACAAGAACTGGAACAGTGAGTATTGACAATTTCTTTCAGCAATCCCTGAACTGGCCACTGATGGTCAGGATGGGATTGGATAAATATCGTTCTTGATGGACCATTAAAAAGAGTGATAGCATGCCATAGCCGTGGAAACTGGCCCATTTGTGGACGATTTATCATGATTTGCCTATAGAAAAATGGTGATTTTACATAGCGATTTCTGTTCAACATACCCTGCAGGGTAGAGTCTCAAAATCCCGGACTCTGGATCTTGGCAAGGGATAGCGAACTGCCATGCTTTGTCATTCGGAGTTTCTCAAGATTCTCAAGCCTGAAACTGATCATCTATGATATAGTTTACCATGATTTACCCATTAAAAATATTTAAAAATGGTGATTTTCCATGGTTATGTTAGTTATCTTATGGATTGAACCCTGCCATGGCATCTCCGTCCTGCGTCCCCCGCTTGACCGCGGCTTTTTGGACGCCGAGGACGTTGTCATCGTCTTCTTTGGGCCTGGGACATTGGCGAGTAACTGGGGATTAACTAACCAATTATTAAGGATCATTATGGAATCATAGATTAATTATGAAGAATTTACCAATGATGAATTGGAATCTATAATTAGTTAATATAGTAACTAACCAATTATTAAGGATCATTATAACCAATAGAATACCAATAGTAAACTATTAGTAACTGGGGATATATGTGTTACCTCCAAAAAATCCCAATAAAATAATCCATGGCTACTAACTAGTTAACTCCCTAACTCCATGGCCCATCGTTTTTGGTGCTTTGGATTCCAACTTTGGATGTGGGATTCATCATGGAATCGCCGCATCTGGTTCCATCCGGTTCCAGACGTGCTGGCGGATGGTTTTTTCTGATTGAAAAACCGCAGGGGCTCTGGAGATTCAACTGATATACAAGGTGGTAGATATATCTATAGTTGATGGGATTATAAACCAACTTATAACTTGGGGGGCACCACCTTGTAGAGATCGAACATCAACATGAACATCCACTACTGGTTGGTGGTTTTAACATGTGAAATAGCGATCTTGAAAAATATGAAAGTCAATGGGAAGGATGACATCCCATATATTATGGAAAATAAAATTCATGTTCCAAACCAACAGTTCCAAACCAGCAACCAGTAGATCATTTTCTGTAATGAACATCCATGGATCATATGGTGCTTCTTTCGTCAAGAAATCCCCGAAACCATGGATCTTCAGGGACATAAAAACTCGACCCTTCAAGGATCAACAAAGAACAACTGGGAGAAATGAACATATCATGTGTAGCAACCAAAAAACTGTACCCTCTGTTTATTGAACATAGCTATGCATAAAATTGCAAAGTCATGTTTTTAATAGGCAATTCATCACAAAACATCATTAAAAAAAATAAAAATCTATAAATGAACCATTCTCCATAGCTATGTTATATAACCATATATAACCAGATGGTATTTCAAGAAACGACTCGTAATTTGCCAGGCACTTCCCACATGTCATCCAATGTTTTTTAAACCCAGGGTGCTATGTTTACCATCCCCAGTCATGGTTGTTTCTGGCAGGGTTTACCACATTCAATGGCCATTTCAGGATCCTAGATTGGAGGTACCTACCATATATAAGGCCTATGTAAGGCCTATGTAAGGGAATATCCCCAGAAAATATGGCCTTATATGGTACAGTACCTCCATTTTAGGATCCTGAAATTCCCATTGACACATGGGGATTTTAACACAGCGGGACAGGCCTTTAGGTACCAGCACGCGCTTGGTCTTGGCCACATGTCTTACGCGTTTGCCCATGGCGAGAAGCGGAGAGTCGTGTTTTCAGGGAAAATGTAAGGGAACGGTGCCCCAGGTCGGAATTGTTAAGTTGATGATGTTGATTATGTTGATTTATAACTAACATAACTAGGATTTTGTGGTAGATACTTATAATTATAGTTTAGTGGGTTTATAAACCAACTTATAACTGGGCGATACTACCCCGTGCCACTTGTGGCCAGCCACAAAGTCGTTGATAAAATTGAATACAGAGACCTGTGTCGACACATAAATTCAATAGGTAGTAGCATTCCACTAATTTATCAAGTCTACTGAGAAACAAGTTCCGATCCAAATGCTAAAGATATTATATAAGTTTTGGAATTTCGGAAACGCATCATGCTTTCCATCTACGTTCCGTTTCGCAGGTTTCAACAGCTGCGGCATTTCAACATGGCAGTTCCGGTTTTAGTCAATTGTATTGATCGTGCCAGAAAGATGGATGGAGGGCATAACATTTTTTAAGCAACTGAAGGGCTCGAGACGGTGAAGACTGGAAGACTTACCGTCACTCAACATACTGAACTATGTGTATATATAATATACAGTCATGATTCTGGTGTGGAAGGGTTCATTTTCACCGTGGTTGCCATCCCGGACGAATCTGATGAGACTTGTAACGAGACAAAAACCCGGGTTTGCGGTTGCATTTTGAAACAAAATCCTCGCCGAAGAATGGAATGCTCTCAAGCCATGAATGATGATGACTGGCCATGATGATCTGTGAAGGGATCAGGTCCATGTTTGGATGCTTGCAAGCAGGAAAACATAGAATGAAATCCAAGAATCTGACATACTGTATCTATTTTATTTTTGGATGATAATAAATATCCACAAGGATAAATAATCTGCAAGACGGATAAACATTTATTTTTGGATGCTATCCATATCTATCCATAATCCATTCATGCAGTATTTCTTGTCAGTTGTTCTATGGAGCTGCAATACCTCACCCCAACAAATGATTGTGGGTCAAACAGAGCCAATCAAACAACAGCAACACAAAATGTGTGACACTCAAAAGGTTACCCTCTGGTAAACCAACATAGCCATGAAAAATATCCATTTCAATAGGTAAATCAGCTATAAATGGCCGTATTCAATAGCTATCTTAAATTACCAGAGGGTGGGATCGTTAATGATCAGCAATGCCAAAATCGATGAACCGATTCAAGTGACGGTGACTCTGGTTGGTACCCCGTTTCCCATCACGACTACGAAAAATTACCCCCATTGATTAATATCCCCTGTAATCAGTTCCCTTCATCCTTCTATCACCATTGTTGTAATCCTGATTCAATATCATGTGTCAATATTATATAAATGGTGAATACCCCCTAATTCCCTTTTTACCTTGTATAAAGCACATGTAATTCAGGTATAATCTCATCAGTATCATTATTCCATTCTATAGTGAGTATGTAGCCATTATATGCCATGATGATCTGTGTACCCATCATGTGTTAGATCATTAGTATAAATGACAACTGCCAACCATTATATAAATTATATAGAATGATGAAATAGTAATGATCCCACTATATTTTTTGAATGGGTATTATTACATTTGGATGTGGGTCAATACCTATACATACCATTTTTAGGGGGATGAACATCCATTTACCAGCTATTTTGATGTTCACCAGGGGTACAAGGTTTTGACACACTGCCATATTACATTTATCATTGTTACCTCAGCCAAAAATGCCAAGCCTCACCAGCCCTCAAGGCTCAGTGCCTTCGTGGCCCGGATATGTCGAGGGCTCGGTCGGATGATAGCCGCCTGGGCCTGGCGAACCAAAAACAGCTACAACACAAACTGCAACTACAATTTCAACAACAACACCAAGAACAGCAACAATAATAACAACAATAATCACAGCAGCAACAGCAACAACAACATGCACAACAGCAACAGCAACAACAACAACAACAAAAACAAAAACAACAGCAACAACAGCAACAACAACAACAGCAACAACAGCAACAACAACAGCAACAACAGCAACAACAGCAACAACAGCAAGAAGAAGAAGAAACACCATGACACAATAATGCTGACAACAACTACACACATTGGCAGTAAAAATCAAGAAACCTGGCAACATGCGCATTAATGATGGTTCCTGTATGTTCCTGTGTGATTTTCTCTAGACTTGATATTCAGTATTGATGTGGTGTTTTCTTATTCTTATCACCAGACTTATTAATTGTCATTCCCTCTGAATCCAATCACATCCCGGGAAGGTACTTAACATTACCTATAGAATTCCTCAAAATGATGTCCCACATATATTGTTCATGTTTTGCTCCCGCTGCTTTTTGGCTCTGCCGATGCTCCGAGCTATGATCAATGATCTATCTATAATACCATACCCTTCAAGTTTTGTGGGTGCCAAGGCAGCCTTGCCAAACAAAAATCACAATTTCTCATCGCAGCTTCGCACAGATAAATCCAACTACAGATCCATATAATATATTATGTCTGCTGGTGTTGGTGTTGACCCATCTCCAAATGTACAGGTGGGGCCCCCCAGTTATAAGTTGGTTTATAAACCCCATTAACTATAGTTATAAGTACCATAAACCATAGTTATTGGAGTTATAAACCAACTTAGCTATCTTGGGGGCACCACCTTGTAGGTATGCCAACCAACCAATAATACCAATATCGGACCCAGGCCACATCCCCACCAGCCTCCGTGGGGCTTCGACATGGTCGCGGAGTTGGCCTTGAGGATGCTGACCACCAAGTGTCCTGGCACATCGGAAAACAATGGGGGGAGAGGGAACCAAAACCCATAGGATCCATGTATGGTATATATTCTAACATTTGGGGTATATTGATGGGATCCATGTTACCATATATAGCATACATGGATCCTATGGGAAATGGAATTGAAGCAACACAACCACTGGGTTTTTTGTCGCCTTAAATGGGATTCAACTTGATTTTGTCCGACAAATGGTGGGATTTGACCCCTAAAATACCGTGGATTTAGACGCTGAAACGGTGACAAAAAAGGGTGAACTACAGCATGAACTGCAAACATGTTGATTCGAACTCTTTTTTACTGGCAGATATGAAGTGAAATCTAGCAATCACGGGGAAAGATCATCTAATTCCCTGGTGGTACTGTGTACATTTGCGTTGATCAACATTCTTGGAATGAACCTCATGCAGGACACAACGATGGCAATGAAGAAACAGCAGAAAGGGGAGACTATCAGCAACAATGAGATCAATGTGCAAAAATTATCTAAAATTATGCAAAATATACTGTTTGCTGATTCACTGATAGTTGTAAACGAATATTGTTTATGTCGTAAACCCAATACAAAATCATCCCCAAGTCATCACCATGTTTATGGGTGCGACAAAAACCCAAATGATAGCCTTGATGGTCCCAGGAATCACAGATTTTTTTACCGGGCCCCCACGTGTTCTATGGTCAAATCCCCACGGGACAAATTGAGGCCGCGACTGACATCCGGCGGCTTGTAGGGCGGAGGCTTGCCACTGGGATATGGCGCCTGCGCTTCGTTTTTTTTTGGAAGGCGGAAGGGATGTTGTTATGTTGGTTGATGATGTTAAGTTTAATATTAGTTAAGATTCTAAGATTGCTTAGATATTGCTTAGATGTTGCTTACTATTGTTTTATATGACATGATCAGAGAAATTGAATGTGGAGAATACTGGTTGATTTTATTGGCTAAAATTGGGTTGATATTGGATAACACCTCGAGAGGGGAAATGTGCTGATACTCACGAGTGAACAGCTCTAGATTGATAGATTCGATGTCATCAGATTTCTCTGTCCCAAGATCATAAAGAAACAAGACTTCTCAAATCATCCCAGATCTCCTACTTAGATGGGCCATGTGATTAGCCAAATGGTTGGTAAGTGGGGATATCAATAACCCTCTATATCCCAATTATAATCCATTTACTAACTGTTACTAACTAGTTATATAAGTAACTCCATGGCCCATCTAAGTAGATCCTGAGAAAATCACCAGGTTCGTTTTTGGGTCTCACAACTCTTCACGCCCATGCGGGACACCTCTGCACGCACCTGAAGGAGAAATTCATGGGGGAAACGGCCACAAACCGCGACCCATCATTCTACAGGGACCCATGAACTGGTCTACCATATATCATATATGTTAATATATATATATATGGTATACCATATATTGCCATATATGGGGAATTATATGACTGGTATGATGTGCATATATAAATATATATATCCATTATACCATATATATATATATTACATCATACCAGTGATAGGGGTATACGCTATACCCAAACATTAAACCTCTATTGGGGATGGGGACTATTATTGACACCACAATTTAGCAGGCCCTTTGAGGATGGTTGCCCGTAACCATCCCTTGCAGTGTCGTCGCAGTGAGATCTTATTGGCACGAGATTGATGATATTCCCGATATATATATATATAGTATATATATATGATAGTATTTTTGTATAATCTACTTAGATGTACAATAACATCAAGGAAATTATATTCCCTATTTCCTTAACAGCTTCAACAGGCTTCAACGATGACCGGAACAGTGTCAAATGGAAGGCCCTGTTGCAGCTATCAAGGAGCAAGACCAATTTGGCAATGGAACATAGTCAATTCATGGATGATTTTCTAGGGGATCTCCCATTGCTATAGGCTATGTTTGAGTACGGGAGAGTACCAGTACCATCTGGTTATTTAACATAGCCATGGAAAATCACATTTTTTAATAGGTAAACCACCTATAAATGGGCCATTTTCCATGGCTATGGCTATGTTAAATAACCAGAGGTTATATAATGCTCTAAGCATCTCTAAGCAATACTACGATTAGAGTTCTTGCTACTTCCATAGCATATATTGTAACATGGGTGTGTCTGAAAATCAGGTACAGTACCCCCAAAACCCAATGGCTTGGAACATAATCTACCCCATTGAACTCAATTTTCTGGATTATCCTCGATTTTAGGGGTTACCCTAAAAAACTAC